GAAATGCCACTCCTTGCCCAGGTCATGCCTGGCTCTCTTGTGTGTTGCAACCATCTGCAGAAGTTGTATGAGGCAGAGAGGTATTAAAGATTTAAATGTTCACTTGGGTGCTTTAAAGGAGTAATAAGATTATCAACAATGATAGAAGCTGCAATCAGTTGTAACAAGAATTTCAGTATTTTTACGACCACTGCTCCAAGTGTTTCAGCAGTACCACCATCTGTTCTGAAACACAGTATGGTCAGTAGTTTAAACTAGTTTAACTTTAAAAGATGGTTTGAACCCCAGCCTGGAGGTGAGTGTTTATATCCTCACTGGAATCTGGAAAGAAATGAATGGACTTTCAGTTGTTTGGCCAGTTACTGTCAAAGATTTTGGAGTTAGAAATCCAGGCAGAAAACCATTTCCACCACGTTTCACCACCTTACCTTGCACATACACAGACCCTGTGGTGATCTCGTATCCAGTGCTGCAGGTATAATCCCCACAGTCATCAGGCTCTACACCATGGATGATGAGCTCAGCTATGCTGCCCTTCAGCTTCACCTCGTACTTGTCACTGGGCTGAATGACCACCCCTCCTTTCCTCCACTCAACGGGAGCGTCCGGCTTGGAGATCTCACAGTGCAAAACAGCCGTTCCCCCTTCTTCAGTCTCTACGTTTCTCAGCTCTTTGCTAAACAGCACTGGCAGTACTGTGGTGGAGAAGCAACTGCATCAGTGACAGTGCTCAGAGGTGAGAAACCTGCTTGTAGCTCCTCCAGAGGGGCTGTTCCCTTCTTTCTCAACCACAATTTGCCTGCTGGTCGCTCATCGCAGGATGGGGATGGAATGGAATAATCATGGAATGAGCTGCTGATACTGCAGAGGTGTCCAGTGCTGCTCCATAAAGGGCTGCCAGAGGTCACAGGGCCTCTAAAAGTCTTCACAGGGCCATACTCAGTGTAAGCACGTAGAGCACAGCACCAGCAATAACAACACCAAGTCAGAACCCTTCAGGTTGGAAAAGACTTTTAAGATCAAGCCCAGCCATTAACCCAGCACAGCCAAATCCACCACTAAATCACATCCTCAAGTGTCACATCTACACACCTTTTAAATATCTCCAGGGATGGTGGCTCTGCTGCTTCTCTGGGCAGCCTGTGCCAATGCTTGGCCACCATTTCAGTGAACAATTACTTCTTAATAAACCCCCCTGGTTCAACTTGAGCCATTTTCTCTCATCCTATTGCTTGTTACTTGTGAAAACAGACCAACTTTTACCTCCCTACAACCTCCTGTTGGTAGTTGCAGAGTGGTAACACCTCCTCCAAGCCTCCTTTTCTCCAGGTTAAAAACCCCAGTTCCCTCAGCTGGCACATGAGATTTTGGGTGTTTAATCTCTGAAACCACATGCTCTGAGCAGGAGTTCATTATGGTGGCTAAACCCACAATCTACAGATGGGATCTAATCTAAAAGACATAGAATTCTTAGCACAAAATGAATAAAACTCTAAAACCCCAAACCCATACAGTTCATAGTACCAAATCAAGAAAACTGTAAAATCCAAAACCATAGAACTCTTAATACGAAACGAATAAAAGTATAAAATCCAAAAACACAGCCACTAAGAAAGGCAAAGAGCCACAGTTTATGGGCTGCTCAGGCACTAGGAGATACAATGGATCAATTTAAAATGGACTTGTCCTAGGCATGGTGAAATACTCCAGTTTGATTTCACAGAATGTCAATGATAACTCAGCAATAAAATTTCAACGTGCATGTGGCACTTGGGGACATGGTTTAGTGGTGGACTTGGCAGTGTTGTTGTTGTAATGGTTGGACTCAGTGATCTCAGAGGCCTTTTTCAAACTAAATTAGAGAATGGTTTGGGGATTGGAAGGGGTCTTAAAGACCCACTTCCAACTGCTGCCTGGAAAGGCTGACTTGGAACAGAGACTAGATAGAGTGAAAGGAATAAAACAGGAATTTATTGAAAGGATACACTTTGGGCAGTGCAAGAGCCTGGATGGGGCTACACTAAAATCCAAGATGGATCCTGGTCATGAATTTTACACTTTTATAGGTTTTGGTTCATCTACATATTTGGGTTAATTATCCAACCACAGCCTCAGGTTATGAAGTCTCAGCCCCCTGGCTTGACCCCTTCCCCTGCTGTTGTTTATGATTTTTTGGGTACCAGTTGTCTGTGATTCTCTAGCTAGAAAGGAATTGTTTTGTCACTGCCCTGTGAAGAGAACTTACTCACACATAATATGAAGTTTCAGAGTTATACACTAAGCAGCAGAGATTCTGAAAAATAAAAAATCTAAAACCCCCTGCCATGAGCAGGGAACCTTCCACTAGACCAGATCTCCCAGAGCCCCATCCAGCCTGGATAATTCCAGGATGGACACAGCCAGCCCTCCTGCGCCTCGTCCTACCTTTGACCTGCAGCGTGGCCGTGGTCTGCTGGTCCCCGCAGTCACAGGTGTATTCTCCAGCATCCTGAGCCTCAGCCCCGTAGATGAGGAGCTCAGCCCGTGTCCCCTCCTGGCGCATCTCGTACTTGTCCCCGGGCTGCAGCCGCGTGTCCCCTTTGCGCCACTCCAGGCGCGCGTGGGGCCGCGTCAGCTCGCAGCGCAGCACGGCCGTGCGCCCTTCCTCCACCTCCTCGTTCTTCAGCCACTGTCTGAACAGCACGGGCAGGCCTGGAAAAGGGAGGGGGAGGCAAAAAGAGCAAAAAAAAAAATAACAGGTGAGGCGAAAATAGAGGAATGTTTTGTCGTTAAAGGCGTGCGTAGAGCCATTCGTGGACAATTCTGGCTGGGCAGCCCTAAGGAGAACTTCTAGGGATGCCAAAGTCAAACCTGGATGGAGCAGGAGGAGGAAGGGGAGTTAATCAGCAAGGAGAATTTTATTTCTATGTCAGCAATATTTCTCTCCCCATATCCCAATAATAATTGGGACAGAACAATAATAATAATTCTTTTCACAAAGAATTCCCAGCTAAGTTCAGCAATTATTACTGAAGGTCAGATAGCTTTCCATCCTTGAAACAAAACCATGGAACAGGATAAAATCACTTAAAGAACATACAATTATATATATAAAAGTATAAAATATANTATATATATATATATATATATATATATTTATTTAAAATGCATGTATATATAAAAATATATATTAATATATAATATTAGAATATATAGAGCATATCAGAGAATTTGAATATATTTAATATACTAGAAAATAAAATATATAGAATATGTAGACTAGTATAATAGAACAATATACAAAATAGAATTTTATATATATATATATAATTATTATTATTATAGAGAGTAATATATGTAGATTATATTAGAATGTTGGAATATATAAATCTGGGGTTACAGTTCAAGGCTTCAAATCTTGCAGCCAGAGATCAATTACAGAATAATCAGGGCTTGAAGGGACCTCTGGAGGATCCCATGGATGGAGATTCCTCCACTCCTCTGGATCTCAGTTCCATGGTCTGACCACCCCTTCATGTTAAAAGTTGGGGTTTTTCTAACCTGAATTTCCCTCACTGCAGCTTGCACTTTCTGCCTGTCATCTCTTTACTGAGCCCTCCAAGAAAGTTCTGTGTCTCTCTCCTCTGTAGATCTCCATTAGGAAGCTGCAGAGAGCAATGAGGTCTCCCCCTTCCACTTTCTCTTCCCCAGTTATCAAACACAACTGCCCTTGCTTCTGCTTATACTTAGACCCTCAATCGTTTAAATTAGAAGGTACTATCATCTTTTTCCAAACTCTGCCACAGTCAGGGACACCTTCCATCATCCCAGGTTGCCCCAAGCCCTGTCTAACCTGGCCTTGGACACTTCCAGGGATCCAGAGGCAGCCACAGCTCCCTTGAGCAACCTGTGCCAGGGCCTCATCATCCTCACTGTAAAAAATATCTTTCTTATACCTGCTCTAAATTGTCCCCCTTTTGGTTAAAACCATCACCCTTTGTCCTATCACAACAGAGTTTGTCCATGTACTTCACATGCTCCAGCCCCCTGCAAAACTTGGTGCTTTGCTGCACTTGCTCCACTGATCAGTGTCTCCCTTGTAGTAGAGAGCTCTAAAAATCGATATTCCCTCCTCTCACCACTGCTGGGCAGAGAGGAAGCCATACCTTTGACCTCCAGCCTGGCAGTGGTGTTGCCAGCAGCCGTGTGGCAGCTGTACTCGCCGGCGTCGGCGCGGTTCAGGTCATGGATAACCAGCGTGTGCACCTTCCCCTCCTGCTGGATGCTGCACTTGTGGCTGGGCTGGATCACAGAGGTGCCCTTCTTCCACTCCACGGGGACATCAGGCTTGGACACCTCGCAGGACAGGTGGGCAGTGCCACCCTCCTGCAGCTCCAGGTTGTGCAGAGCCTTCACAAAGGTGACCGGGGCAGCTGTGGGGAGAGGGGACCAGCACTGCTGCAGCATCCTCACCCAGCATCACCCCCAGGGCACAGCTGGGTGGCTGTAGTTACATTCAGAACCACATCGAAGAGGAACAGACAACACAAGGCACTGGCATGGGCCATCTTTCAAAAATCCTTCTATAGATCTTACAAGAAAGGGTTTTCGGAGCTTTCAGACTTCTATTTGTAAATGTGATCTAAAAGCATCACAAGTAGGCGATTAGTCCAGAGCACATTCTTGACACTCTTCAGCATTGATTCTGACATATGATCAGCTGTGTAGTTGGATGGTCTTCAAAGGATGTTAATGTTAATTATTATATCAAATAACACCAAAGGATGTTAATAGCAATTATTATATCAAGTACCATCAAAAGATGTTAATATTAATCTTTGTTCCGTGTACAATAAAAACAACTGCAGTGACTGGTTCAGATGTACCTCTCTAACTTGCTAAATTGGATAAGCAGAATCTCCCAAAATTTCCAAGGCTCCCTAATCCAAATACACCTCTCCATCAGTCACAGCAGTGCCTGCCTGTCCCTGCTCAACCCTTCTTCCAGGGAGGCTGCTCACCTTCCACCTTCAGCCGTGCTGCCGACGAATGCTGCCCCACTTTGAAAGTGATGGACCCACAGTCCTCCAGGGTCACCTTCCTCAAGATCAAACTGTGCCGTGTCCCCTGCACTCTGATCTCGTTCATTTCGTTGGATTGCAGGGGAACATCCCCCAGGAACCACTGGGCATCCTGAGCTGTTTCCCGGGACAGCCGGCACTCGAACACCGCGTCCTCCCCTTCGTACGCGGCCACGTCCTTCAGCCTCTCCACGATGGTGGCTGCTGGTTCTTCATGGAAAGGGCAACAGAGTTTGAGATCTACTTGCAAGTGATGTTTCCTGGGTTAAACCCCTCGTTAGGCTCCTTGACAGTACTATGGTGCTGTTATCTGAGGTCCTAAATAATAAATCTGGGGGTGTTCAGCTTGGAAGAGAGGGCTTGTGGGCGTTTATTAGGGGTGAATAGTGACAGGAAAAAGGGGAATGGTTTCAAATTGAAAGAGGGTAGGGTTAGCTTAGATGTTAGAATGAAATTGTTCCCTGTGAGGGTGGGGAGGCCCTAGCACAGGGGCTGTGGCTGTCCCTGGATTCCTGGAAGTGTCCAAGGCCAGGTTGGGTGGGGCATGGAGCACCCTGGGATAGTAGAAGGTGTCCCTGCCCATGGCAGGGGTTTGAAACTAAATTATCTTGAAGGCCCCTTCCAACCCAAACCATTCTGTGATTCCAAACTCATGGGAATGTAGGTACACAGGCATGTAGTGACATATTACAATAATACAGATGCATGATTCATGTGTATTATGCACACATACATGACAGTCTAAAAAGCTTGTAAGTTCTACTGTGTTGTGTGCATAACAAATATTTAATATATGTATAATCATAACCTGTGTGTTGTGAAAAAGCCGTCAACAGTTTCCCACGGGTGGAAATTAATTATTATTAAACCACAAAATCACTAAATGCCATTCCTAGAGGTAACTGACCCAGTTCTTATCCTATGAAACCTCTGAGATCCCTGTGGTTCTCCTTGACCACAGGACAAGGTTTAGAGCTGCCAAATTACTCAATCCTGTGCCCCTGCCACGGTGCCAAGCTGTGCCCAGCTGTCCCCCATGCAAAGCCCCACCTTTCAGGTGCACTGCTGCCGTGGTTTGCTGGTCCCCTGTGTCACAGGTGTAGTCCCCAGCATCAGCTTCGCTCAGGTTGTGGATTGTCAGCTCAGCCAGGGATCCCTCCTGGCGCATCTTGTATTTGTCACTGGGTCGCAGCACTGTCCCCTCCTTCTTCCACTGCACACTGGTGTTGGGTTTGGAGACCTCACAGCTCAAGGTGACACTGCCACCTTCCTCAGCTTGTTGGTTCTGGAGTGGCTGTGTGAAGGTGACTGGAGCAGCTAAATCAAGAAAAATGGAGGGAGGAACAAATCGTGTGTCACTGCTGATTGTGTAACAAACTTTGTGTTTGATCAAACTCTGATGCCATCCTAAATTTGCTTCAAATTCAATTCCAAAGTTACTTTAAAAGCAAAACAAGGAATGGCAGAAAGTGTTGGATTTCCAGGAACTCTAAGCACTCTGCTCTCCTGAAGAATCACTGGACACTGCACACACTGAGCACCTCAAGGATTATGCTCCTTCTTGCACAGGAATGGTCATGGACACAGTTTTGAGCATTCTGTGCATGTATCTCCAAAAGGCTACCAAGACCAGACCTCAAAAGTTACTCCTGATACCCAAGTTCTTGTGTATTTGGGAGAGGGCATGGAGGGTCTTTCTATAATATTCCTTATTTGAAAACTGGACCAGCAGAGAAAGGAACACTGGCAATCTCTGTGCTGCTGGTACCACTGGTGGGTCAAGGTGCAGTTTTGATGGGTGAATTTATAAAGTGCCACATGTAGAAGTTTAACTCCTCGAGTCCAGTTCCCTGGAAGAACCTCAGTGGCTCCACACTTATTGGTATGTGTATATATAATTTTTTTTTCCCCCAGCCAATTGGTTGAATTGGTATTACAGTGTGACTGCACAGGCTTTCCTCAGCTTCCTGGGTTTGGAATTTTTTTCAAGGAGTGCTGGAGTGGCTGAGACCACACACAGAGACATAAATTGGCCAACAATAACAGAGGACCTCCTTACAGCATCAATATTCTGCTATCCCTGAGTCATGGACTGCCTGTGACTGCAGGCAGGTGTGTGCCTTTCATGGGAGAGCCCTCAAGAATATTTCAAAAGGTGGGATTTAACAATGTCCTGGCTCATCTTTGTTTTTCCTGACCATGTGTCTCAGAAAAAGTCAATTTGATATTGTATTTGTATCAGATCAGATTGGAAAAAAACAGATATATATTCACATGACACCGATTTTAAAGATTTTAGGTGCCTTGCTCATTAGCTGGAGTTGTGTCCAAGTTTGAACAATTTCACCTGGACAATATTTTTCCAGGCAGAACTACAGCTCAAAGGATGATTAAGCATCAAAAATAGTCCTATTCTAATGGAGCTCCAGCCCTGGCCGTCTGAGTGACCAGAGAGAGGCCATAGGATCTCAAAGTGTGGAAGTAATTCCCACATTTGGTGAAGACACCACAGGTCTTCCAAAAGCAGAAGGACTCAGATGCCTTTGACAGCACATCTGAAGTCAAGGACAGTAGGAAAAAATCCTCTTGGCAGAGTCTAACTAAGGGAGTGGAGCAAGTTTCTTATCTTAAAAACCCCAACACAACACACCTTTAACAGTCAAAGTGGCTGTTGTTTCATTTCCATTATCACAGGTGTATTTACCAGAGTCTTCTAGTTTTAAGGCATTAATATTTAAGGTGTGGACTGTTCTCTCCTGCCTGATTTTATTATTTGGAGCTTGGGGAGATCACCTGGGGACCCTTTTTCCATTTCACCTCAGCACTAGGCTGGGAGAGCTGGCAGCTGAGGACAGCTGTATCCTCCTCCTGCACTTCCCTGCTCTGCAGTTTCTCCTTAAAGACTGGAGGTGGCACTGAAATTACAAACAAAGCAAAGCATTTGTGTTTGCTTTGCTTGCTTTGTTTTCCAAGCACCTTGGTCTCTTTTCCTGCAGTCTTAAAGCTACAGCTGAACGGTTGAGTATTAAAAAAAATCCTCCGACTTCTGTGTTACCTACTGAGGGGTTAAATGAAGCTTGTAAGAGGGAAGGAGAATGATTTTGGTTGGAGAATTTAATTGAAATAATGTTTAGGAGAGAGGAGGAAAGGAGGAGGAAAGGAGGAGGAAAGGTCTGGTTGAAGATGTAGAGAGATTGGACCAGATAGCTTTTAAAGGTCCCTCCAAACCCAAATTTTCCTATAATTCTAAAAGGGGTAGTGGAAGCAATGAAAATTCCAGGTCTCTCCATCCAAGTAATGAAGACAAACTAGCAATTTCTCCAGGAATCAGTGAGCTTTGGGAAGATGGTGAAATGTCCCCTATTTATCCGTGGTGAGTGCAGTCACAGATGCTTTGAAGCACAAGCACCCCCGAGACACGAGGGAGGTGAATTATGGCATTGAATTTGCTGCCAGCATTAGCAGAGCACCCCCTGTTCCCAGTGATCCTGTTCCCCACCACAGGGAGCCCTCACCTTTCACCCTGAGCTCTGCTGTCGACGTGTGGGGTCCCACCCGGAAAGTGACAGTGCCAATGTCCTGCTCGGTCACCTTCCTCAGGGTCAGGGTGTGGATCTTGCCCTTCTCCACCGAGATCTCGTTCATTTCGTTGTTCTGCAGAGCCACGTCCTGCAGCTTCCACTCCACGTCCCTGGCGTTCTCGTGGGAAACCTGGCACTGAAAGGTGACATCGTCCCCTTCGGACACCACCCTGTCCTTGAGGCCACTCACGATGGTCACGTCAGGCTCTGCAAGGAGGCAGAAATGGGAAATGAGGGGAAATGAAAGGGAAAATGTGGATCAGACCATGGAACCATGAGTAATAGAGCCTGCAGTGGACTTGTGGAAGTCACCTGCTCCAAAGCTGCTCAGCACCTTGTCCTTCAAACTCTGCCTTCAGTGTACTTGGTAACAGGAAAAATGAATTTTGGATAGTGGCTTTACCATTTGTCCTTGCTAAGAGACACACTGCATATTGATTTGTGTTTTTAATGCTTGATAGGGTGATAAAGACTTGAATGCTGCATGCCAAAATCAGGATTTTGAAATTTGTTCCATTTACACTTAGACATTGTCACAGCATAACATTAAAGCCTGATGCTCTCTATTGTATTTTTGTGAACAGATCTGCATTTACTCCATGCTGATGCTCCAAACTGGCTGAAGCCCTGGCCCTGCTTTGTCCTCCCAGCAGGACTCACTGGGTTAATGTGAGCACAGGGGTTCTGCACTGCAGTTTGCCTGAGTCCCACCTCTAGGACAGCTGGGCACCCGTGCAGGGATCATACAGACAACCCTCAGTGGGGGGACACTAATAAATACCCCAAACCCACTGGGGAATACCAAAGGAAACATAAAATCACTAAGGCTGGAAAAGACCTCTAAAATCATTGACTCAACCATTCAAAAAACAACCCAGTCTCCCTCTGAGCAAGCACAGTGGATATTCCCACAACTGAGGTCACCATCTGCACAAAAAATGCTGCAGCTGGGTGTGATGTGCAGGGGATCTACAACGTGGAGCAGCCCGTGGAGATGCTGGGGGGGTTTGTTCCACACCAGTGGTCCAACCTAAGCTCTGCAATGACATTTAGGCCAGATGCAGCTGCCATGTGACTGGAAGCTGGGGCTGGACCATCTGTTCAGTCCCATGCACATGATGTCAAGCAAATATTCCAAGCCATGAGTCACAGATTACATCTGCCTTATCCTCTCCTGTCCACCAAGTCAATCTTTGCCTTTGGTGCATCCACTGACCACGAGTTATTTTTATGATACCCATCCTATGTTGATCACAATAACTCATTTTATGGGATGTATGTCCATATAACCCAATCATGTTGCAATATCTTAGTTCCCTAAAGGGAAAATCTCCTTGTTCCAATAAACAGGTCTTGCCTTTCACAGTGAGTTTGGCTGAGCTGGTCTGGTCTCCAGCCTTGCAGGAATATTCTCCAGCATCCCCAGGCTCCAGGTGGTGAACACGGAGCTCCCTGAGGGTCCCATCCTGCCACATTTCATACTTGGAGCTGGAGTGCAGGAGGGTTCCATCCTTCCTCCACTCCACCTCTGCTTTGCTGATGGAAATCTCACAGCGCAGCCTGGCTGTTCCTCCCACTTCCACCTCCTCGTTCCTCAGCTGCTGCTTCAGCTGGGGTTTGATGGCTGTAAAATGAGAAATAAATAATACATGAGCTGTTTGCTTGAATGCCAGGTCTGCACAGCTCAGCACAAGGCACCTGGGCTCTGGTGCTGCTGTACAATTTTGCATTAAGTGGTGATATGATAATAAAACCATTTTTCCCCCCTATAAACAGACCTATATTGTGTATATCCAGAGGATCAGAAAGTTCCCCAAATATCTTTATATCCCATAAAGTCCAGGCATCCACATCACACCTTTTATGCCACTGCTCTGCATACTCAAAATTCCAACACATAAAGGTTCTGACTAAGCAAAACCTCACACTTTCTGTTTAAACCGGTGTAAATCTGCTCACTTTTACAGAAATACTCCTGATTTTCAAAAGCTAAATAATGTAAAGCTTTAAATTAATTTCTGATTTCTCAGCTGTTCTTTCAAGACCCGGATCATCCTCAGTGAGTCCTTCCAGGTGATGCACAAATGGACATTTATTCAAGTAGAGCATGGAACAGCTCAGACAACAGCTTGTCACTGGTGGAAACAAGAAGGGGATATCCATGGGGGGGTGTGAGCAGTTGGAAAAACGGGAATTTCAGTGCCTGTGGTTCCAGAAAAACACTACTGTGAGACAGGTAAAGCAATCACTGGGCTCTTTCACCCATAGTTGACCCCGGGGCTGCTTTTTGAGTCAGAGTCATGAAAAATATGTTGTTTGAAAGGTTATGGTTTAGATCAAAGCCCCAAATTCCACCCAACTTTGAGACATACACAAATATTTCATAGATGGTGTTGGATGGCCCTGTTTGAGCAGGGAGGTTGGACCAGTGACCCACACCATGATTCTGTGATCACTCAGACATTATTCCTAATGTTTAGTTAAACACAGCATTCTCAGAATCAGCACAGGGAGATTAAAAATAGCAACCTCAAAATGCTTTTTTTGTGTGCTGTGTGACTTGCTATTGATTCAAGAGAGCCAGCAAAATTGCAAAACACCAAAAAGAGTTCTGTTAATATTTCAAAATCACCACGACACAGAATTCCTTGCTTTTATCATATCAGAGGAAGGGGTCAGTGCACTGCACTCTGTGCTTTACAGGCTTAAAGAGGAACCCTGTCCCACCAGATCCACTTCTCTGTATTCTGCTTTATGACTGGGCAGCTCTTTTCCTCATTATCTTAAACTTTTTGGATTAAATAGCATCATTCACACAGTTCCACCAGTGCCTTTTCTCCTGCATCCCAGGTGGGTGCAATGCTAACCATTCACTCTGAGGACTGCAGTGCTCTGCTGGTCTCCCGTGTCACAAGTGTAATCAGAGGCATCCTCTGGCTCTACATTATGGATCACGAGCTCTGCTGTGCGCCCACTTAATTTAATTTCATATTTGGCACACGGGAAGAGCTCCATGGTGCCTTTCCTCCACTCCACGGCCGCGTTATCCTTTGTAAGCTCACACTGGAATTTCACCGCGGCTCCTTCCTCTGCCTCCTCGTCCTTGAGCTGCTTTTGGAAAAGAACTGGCAGAGCTAAAAGAGAAAAGAAAAGGATCAACAGGATTTTATTTAGTGAAGCCTGAGTCATGTCCTGGTTAACACAGGCTGACACTTGGAGAACAAGATACTCTGCTTTTCACTGATATTCCTAGGTAGGATCCGTGTTTGCTAATTTTCCTAGTGCAACTGGGAGATCTTGCTGCATCAGAAGAAGCCATCTGCATCTATATCATTCATTTCCTTTGCTCCTTGACACAAATCCTTCCCAATGGTGGATTCATTGAATGATTTTATCCCTCAGTTGATTTAACACTGATCCCAAGAGCAAAGAACTTCAAAACTCCGTGGACAGCCTTGAGAGGTCAGGGATGTCGTTGTCCGTCTTCTCACAGGATTTGAAAGAAAATATTCTTTTTAAATACTCAAACAACATGTCATGTGAAATGTCCAGATGTTATATTAAATCATTGCTTTTTCTTTAATTTCTCCTCAGGCACAAAGCTTGAAAGTATTTCCTATTAGAACCCAAAACTCAAACACAGCACTGGAAGAACAAAGTATCATCCTCTTCCATTCTTATTGAAAATAAATTTTAAAAGTCCTATCAGATGAAAAGGAAAACATTCATAGAGAGTAAGAATAATGCCCTAAAATACTCATATTGAAATGGTTCTTTTGCCTGTTGGAGGAACCTGTTCCTTTAGGAGCCAGCTCACACCACGTACCTTTCACATTGAGAGCTGCCCTGGTTTCCTGATCCCCCGTGTCACAGCTGTATTCTCCTGTGTCTTCTAATCTGAGATTGTGTATCAAGAGCTCTACCAGGCATCCCCTCTGCCTCATTTCATATTTCTGGCTGGGCTGCAGCCCCACTCCTCCTTTCCTCCATTCCACTGCAGTTCTGGGTTTCGACAGCTCACAGCAGAACGTGGCTGTGCTTCCTTCCTCAAATTCCTTATTCTGTAAAGGTTGCTTAAACGTGATGGGCAGTGCTGTAAAATTGGAGAGGAAAACGTTTCAAGAGTGTTTTAGTGCAAGAAGGATCCAGTCCTACCATCATCCTTCAGGTATGGCTAATTCTAATGATTCCATAATCCTGGGGATGCAGGATGTCTGTCTTGGCAGAATCTTTCATGAACCACTGAGGGAACCAAGAGGACAGGCAAAATTAGGAAAGATCTGATCTTAGTGGTGAACAGAATGGCCTGGTTTGAGGTCTGAAGGAGCCAGACTTTCCTATGGAAGAGTTTCCATGCCAGCTATGGATCCTTTAGGAAAAGATCACTGAGAGTTCTTTTATACAAATCCCTGCCCCTTAATAGAGGTCTGTGAGATTGCAATATTAAACAAAGAGAATTTCTGCCCCAAATAAGGCTTCTATCAATGTATAAAAGATCAGGTTAGTATTTATCTCCTGGTTAGAGATTCCAGTCAAGTGATAAATGGGAGGGGAAATTCAGATTTCAGGATTTCAGTTAAGGCCTTGCTCTGGATGGTACAAGGAGTGAAGGAACACAGGTGTGGATTCAAGTTGTCTGCAGTCAGCATTTGAACCTGAAGTTCAAAGCCTCCAGTAACAACACAGCACATTCATATATCACAGAAATCCCTTATCCCTTGGTAATTGGTGCATCTCTTACCATCCCAGACAGGCATTACACCCTGTCAGGCATCCCTTATCCCATTCCCATATCCAGCCACTCTCCCAGCACTCAGGGCAGGAGGGTTCAGCATATTTCTACATCATAACAACATTCAAGGCCAGCTTGGTTGAGGCTGTGAACAGCTTGGTCTAGTGGAAGCTGTCCCTGCCCATGGCAGGGGGTGGAATGAGATGAGCTTTAAAGTCCTTTCCAACCCAAACTATTTTGGGATTCTATGATTTAATTGCTTTCACACCTCAGATACTGCAAGAAGAACCTTTCCACCTTGCTGTGTGCCATGCCCATGAGGAATTCTGGCATGGACCAGCAGCAAAGCCAATCAATGGCTGCAGAGAGCACCAAGAAAGGCTCCTTGCACTCCACTCCTACTGAGCCAAGGGGTCACCACTGCCTACCATGCACGGCCAGCACAGCCCTGGTCTGCTGGTGTCCTGAGTCACAGCTGTAAATTCCTGAATCGTCCAGCTCCAGGTCAGAAATGACCAATTCAGCAGCACAGCCCTGTTGCTTCATCTGGTATTTCACACCAGGGTAGAGAGTAACATCTCCTTTCCTCCACTCCACTGGAGCCTTGGGTTTGGTGAGCTCACACCTCAGGGTCACTGTGCCACTTTCTTCTGCCTCGGTGTCCTGGAGCTCTTGCTTGAAAAGGGCTGGTAGGGCTATAAAATAGAAATATGACTTGGACCTGCTGCAGCTGGGGCTTGGGAAGAAGGAAGTAGAAGGAAAATAGCAACAAAAGAGAGGATTTTTCCCAGATGTCTCTAAACCTCAATGCTCTAGATTCAGACTATGAAGCTATTTCCCCAGAAAAGTAATAGCAATATCTGCAGAGCAAGAAGAAATGGATTTTAAGAAGTTACATTTGCCATGAGATATATAGAACCTAATCTATGATCTAAAAATGGAATAATAGTTTTCCTACTGTAAAAGTAGCCAGCATGCTGCCCTGATCACTGAAGAAGTGTTCTGAAGATCAGCAGGGAATTTTCAGAGTTCAGATTCCCTCCTAATACAGAGACCTGCAAGAGTTCATACTCCCCTCTTAAGGCAGGGAATTTTAAAGGTTCAGATTCCCTCTTAAGGCAGGCCATTTTCAGGAGACATTTTGATTATTCTGACAGCAAAATACAGAAAAAATGCACTTAGCTCTGCATGGCAGTTCCCATTTTCTGCCTGACCACTCCATGAGCTGCACAGACCAGGCTATTCTGCACACTTGATGATTTACAGTCTTTTCTTTTAGCACCACTAAACCACAGTTGTTATTTTTATTTTCAAAAGATATTACAGCCTCTTCCCTTTATTTTTTTACCATTGACTGTCAGCGTGGCAGTTGTCTGCTCATCTCCACACACACAGGTGTAAACTCCAGCATCCTCCTCCTCCAGCTCATGGATAAGCAGCTTTGCAACAGCACCATCCTGACTCATTTCATATTTGCTGCTCTCTTTGAGCACCTCCTGCCCTTTCTTCCACTCCACCTCAGCAGGTTTTGTCAGCTCACACTGCAGAGCAGCTGTGCCATTTTCCACAGCTTCCAGGTCCTTCAGCTCTCTCTTGAATTCTGGAGGCAGCACTGAAGAGTAAAAGAGTGACCACAGAGAGGGTGAATTTTCCTTAAAACGCAGCTTGGTGAGGTCCTGGGGGAGAGGTTTCATGGGGCAATACCAAGCCCTGATCCAGGTCAGTGGAACACAATGGAAAAATCTTCCTCAGCTTCCCTGGCCACTGGATCAGGGCAAGGAAAATGAGATGAACTAGCACAGCTGAGGGGGCCAAACACAATCAGGGAATGTTTTTCCCAGTTCTACAAAAGGAGGAAGCACAGACAGGAACCAGAAGCAAACAGAAAGGGATGGGAACAGAGATTTGGGCAGGTTTGGAGGATGTTCACCCCAAGGATTACATTACCACGAACTGTTAAGGCAGCTGTGCTGGTCTTGTCTCCACACACACAGGAATAATCCCCAGTGTCACTCAGCTCCAAGCCATGGACCACCAGCTCCACAGCACATCCCTGCTGCCTCATGCTGTACTTGGTGCCCGAGGTGAGGATGTGCTGGCCCTTCTTCCACTGCACACGGGCAGCAGCCTTGCTCAGCTCACAGTGCAAAGTGGCTGTTCCACCTTCCACCCCTTCCTGGCTGGTCATTTCTTCTTGGAAAAACGGAGGCACAGCTGAAGGATGCAGGTAAAATGTGTTACAAACTGAGGGTGTCTCCATGGAGGGGTGAGGAAGTGGCAGGGGAAAGTTGTGAAGGCTGTGACAGGGGAAAGTTGTCAAGGATGGGTGAGCATCAGCCACGAAGAGAGGAAAGAGAAATGAAAATATCCTAGTGGGAACAGACAACCTAATTCTTTTGGATTTGCCCTGGCTTCCTACAGCAGAACTGCAAAGTCCCCAACAGATTTACACCTGCTTGATACCAGTTTCCTCCTCAGAAAAAGGCAGAATGCCAGCTCTGAGCTCCTCAATTCACATGTATTGGTGTTTTCCACAAACTTCATGGCTTTGCACTCTCTTTTCCTACTCGCAGAGCTGCCCTGCTGTGCTCTGACTGTTGACACAGCTCCTTACTCATCCTCACTCTTTCTTCCTTGAGATATCCTTGAAGAGGAACATCTGGGACTCACAGATCCTTCTTGACCCCAAAGTAAATCTCCCACTGCTGAATTCCAGCCTGGGAACACATTTTGCCCATTTTACATAATTCTCCTGCCCATTGCAACTTGCATTCTTGAAATAAATGTGGTGACCTTCACACATGTCCCTCTATTAACTAGGTGGGATACTGGGATATTTCATCTGTTTAACAAGATTAGAGATCTTAGATCTCAAAATTAGTGTCCAGTATTAAAGACTTAATTAAAATATCCAGGCTAGAAGACAAGCTTAGCCCTGATTTGGCACATTTCCCATTCCAGCAGTGTTAAGCTGAAACACCAGACTTGTTTACCCAGCAAACTGTTCTTCCAACAAAGGAAGACCAGAAGGAGGTCACAGAAAGAATTTATTCTTTCCTTAGAAAAATCAGCGTCCCAATGGAAATTACCTTTGGGCATCAGGACAGAGATGATGGGCACAAAGCCCAAAATGGACATAACTTAGTGAAGAGGAAATTATAATTAACAGAGCCTTATTCTGGATACTCCTCATTCCCTGTATTAAAATGGTCGGTATTGAGAATTCCAGAAAGGAATGGCAAAGAATAAGCAGATTTGTGGTTTGGAGAATAAATGCAGGAAAGGAAAGACCAAAGAACAATGGGGTTACATGGCAGGAAAGGAAGGTCAGAAGGGAGAGAAGAAAGGAGAGCAGGCTTGTGTTTAAGGAAAGGAAAAGGATGGCACAGAGAAATGCAGACAGGTATTTTCCAATTTCCACAGCCTGCAGGTGAGGAGGGGCAGGGAACATTTTCAACTTGATGAAAGTTCAGTTAATAAGGATGAACAAACAGAGGTGGAAAATTGAACAGCTTGGAGCAGGGGACAGAAGTTTCCAGTGAGGAAACAGGAGGTCAGGGATGGCTTTACCCTGTACTGTCAGGACAGCTGTGCTCTGCTGCTCTCCACACACACAGGTGTAGTCTCCTGCATCCTCCTCAGCTATTTCATGGATCACCAGCTCTGCCTTGAGCCCTTCCTGCCTCATTTTGTATTTCCCACTTGGTTTGAGGATCCTCTGGTCCTTCCACCACTCCACTGGAGCAGCCTTGGAGAGCTCACAGAGCAGGGAGACTTCTCCACCTTCTTCTGCTTCCTTGTCCTTCAGCTCTTCCTTAAACAGTGGTGGCAGAGCTGGAGGATGCAACATGGACAAAGGGACAGCAGAAAACCAGAATTAAACCCCTCATTTCTACTTTGAGATTATTTCCCCTCTTGCTTTTTTACCAGCCTATTATAGATATTCTTAGCCATAACCAAGTTCAGAAACTCTGAAAGTGTCTTTCTTCATGCATAATGTGATTTTAGTCACCCTGAGGGATCAGTTTTCTGGGTTTTTGTTGTTATTTATAGAGAAAGAGCAAAACAAAGACCCAGACCTCAGATCAACAGCACTCACAAATAACACTGCTGGATACAGAACTATTTTACCCACACAAATGTCATTCTTTGGAGGCTGCTGTTTTTAGTTTCTGGTTTGTTTTTATTAAACTGTAGCAGCCCCATCAACATGAAAGCAGATAGATTTCAAAATAAAACTACTGCTAGTTTTAAATTGAAGTTTGAAGGGCCATTACATCAAATAAGAATTTTAGATTCTTATTACTCCTCATTTTGGAAATCATAACTCAAAGACAAAACAACCTAAACAACCTACAGGAATTAAGCTCTGGAATGATAACACTTCTCTCACTCTGCATGTCTGACTTCTTTAAAGAATCTGGAACCTTTAAAAAAAACAAAAAAAGAAACACAGCCAGAGAATTCCCTCCTCTTTCTGCTCCCCTAGCCCTCACTTCTCCTTTTTCAGTTCCTGGAGAAGAGGGACCTGACAGTCCATAGCTGAGTGTTTTGGAGAAACTGTGGTGGACTGAAGTGACCTAAGGGGCTGGAGCTGGAAAATACAAATATCCAAGAAGAGGAGACTTGCACAGAAGGAAACTTCACGTGTTCTCCTTTAAAAGGACAGATTAATAATGACCTAAAAATTCACCACGAGCAACTCTTTGTCAGGAAGAAATGAGTTATAAATAGAATGAAGGAAGAGGAAAGGATAAAAACAAAGATAAACTACTGACCCAGGGAAGAAGCAGCTACATTTCAGAATTATGTCTATCTCTAGAGATATTTATCAATTTTAACAAGTTCTTTTTACCATGAACTGTTAAGGTTGCTGTTGTCTTCTGGTCACCACACACACAGGTGTAATCTCCAGCATCTTTTACTTCTAGGTCAGGAATGACCAGCTCTGCAGTAGTGCCAGACTGTCTCATTTGATATTTGTCACTTGCTTTGAGCACTTTGGGCCCTATTTTCCACTGCACAGGAGCTCCTTTGGTTAATTCACATCTCAGAGTGACTGATGCTCCTTCTTGGGCTTCTTCATCCTTCAGCTCTTCCTTGAAAAGCACTGGCAGGGCTGGGAATGGAAAGCCAATAGAAAGGGTTTGTAAACTAAGAGATCAGCATTGTGAATTCTCAGCTGAAGTTCAAACCTGGTCAAATCAGGGGTTTGAGGTTGAGGTTATCACTATGAAGATCTGGAAAATGGAATCCAGCAGTAAGACAGGAAGTGCTGAGATGACAGGCCAAAATGCAAGATTTAAGGTAGAATTTAAAGGATTTATCACAGGACAGAACATCTCAGCTGGTCTGACATTTCCTGGGTGAAATTCCCTTGAACCTACAACACAGCAGCGTGTCTGCAAGGACAGACAGTCCTGTCCTCAGCTCCCTTTTCAGCAACACCAGACCAAAAACCAAACACCTGAACAAGAACTGGACAGGAAGAAACAACAGGTCAACACTTCATGGGGGTTTCAGAGAGACAGAAAATGGACAATCATCTGCATTTACCCTTCACTGCCAGAGAGGCTGTGCTGTGCTGGTCCCCACACACACAGGTGTAATCTCCTGCATCCTGCAGCTCTAGGTCACGGATTTCCAGCTCTGCCAGGGCACCCTCCTGCCTCATGATGTATTTTTCACCTGCCTTGAGTATTTTGTTCCCTTTCTTCCATGCCACAGCTGCAGCCTTGCTCAGCTCACAGCTCAGAGTGGCTGTTTGGCTTTCCATGGCTTGCAGGTCCTTCAGGTCTTCTTTGAAAAGGGCTGGCAGGGCTGAAGGTCACAAAATGCACAGAAGACATTAAAAATGACATGTGGCACACGGGCGACACGAGGGGTGGGTGGTACAGAAGCAGAGAACACTTTAGGGTGGAAACAGAGAGTTTTCCTCATAACTCTGGGACATTGGACAAACCAAAAGACAAAGAGAAAAGCAGCCTGGATACAACCAGATCTTACAGAGGATTTACAGATTTAAAGAAACAATTCAGCCACAGGTGAACACAAAACCAGTATCAACGAGCTGGCATAGAAATCCACAATAATACAGTTGTTTATAATGCAGATAATATAATATAATACAGATAAATAATACATACAATAATACAGATATATTATCTTTACCATGCACTATCAAGGCTGCTGTTGTCTCCTGCTCTCCACACACACACGTGTACTCTCCAGCATCTTTCAATTCCACATCCTGGATAAGCAGCTTCCTGACCATGCCCTCCTGCCTCATTTTGTACTTGTCACTGGCTTTGAGCAAGGTGCTGCCCTTCCTCCACTCCACGGGGGCAGCTTTGGTCAGCTCACAGCTCAGAGTGGCCACTTGACCCTCGGTCACCTCCTCGTCCCTCAGGCTCTCCTGGATGCCTGCAGGCAGCACTGGGGATGCAATGGGAACAGGGTTAAAGGGAGCAAACGCAGCCTGCAGGTGAGGGCATGGGGAAGGAAAGGTGGGGAGGGGTCTTCAGGCTTGACCTCACATCTGCTTCAAGGATTAGGTCCTAAAACCACTCTGTACATGGAACTGGGGGAAGGTTTTACCCCTAAATCCCAAAATTCATCCTGGTGGTTATGCCACTCAAGGTGAGACTCAGAGGAACTGTGCACAGATAGCAACGGTGATAGAAACAATTCAAATAATAATTTCAAAAAGGATGGCACTCAGAGGAACTGTGCACAGATAGCAGTGGTGATAGAAACAATTCAAACCACGATCTCAATAAGGATGGCACTCAAGGAACTGTGCACAGATAGCAGTGGTGATAGAAACAATTCAAGCCATGATTTCAATAAGGATGGCACTCAGAGGAACTGTGCACAGATAGCAGTGGTGATAGAAACAATTCAAGCCATAATTTCAATAAGGATGGCACTCAGAGGAACTGTGCACAGGTAACAGTGGTGATAGAAACAATTCAAGCCATGATTTCAATAAGGATGGCATCCAGATGGAGCTGTCATTACCATGCACTGCCAAGGAAGCTGTGGACTGCTGCTCCCCACACACACAGGTGTAATCCCCAGCATCACTCTCGGTCACACTGTGGATCACCAGCTCTGCAGTGACATCCTTCTGCCTCATTTTGTATTTCTCGCTAGGTTTGAGGGCTGTGTGTCCCTTTTTCCACTCCACTGGGGCAGGTTTGGTCAGCTCACAGTGCAGAGTGACTGCTTCACCCTCCTCGGCCTCCTCATCCCTTAATTCTTCTTTGAACAGAGCAGGAAGGGCTGAGAAACAGAGCAGCAAAGGTTTTCATGACAAGCAGCTCCTGACCACCAAAATAAACAATGTTCACCAACATCTAGCCCTGGCTGGTAGTGAGCATCATCTCACAGAAGGAAGAGGCTGATTTGTATCATAGACAAAAATGCTCTCGTCATTTCTTTCAGCAAATATTAAATAAATTTGCTGATTGGTTTAGAGATTTATGGAAAATAAACAGCAGAAATGGGGAAACTTTAAGTATGGTCCAAACTGCAACTTTCTCAGTATAACCCAGACTAGAAAATTAACACAACAGCTTACACCATGATCAGGAAAAAAGCTGAAGGAAAAAATTATACCCTTTTAATTTACATTTTAAGGATGCATTCAGACTTAGCCCATATTTAGGATAAGATGGAAGAGTAGAATCAGAAAGAGATCCCGAAAGTGCTTGGGTAGGAATAAAAAGGAAAGAGAAAAATGATGTAGCCATTGCAGAAATCTGCCATAAATCCCTCACCCCAGGCTGTTCAGGTGCTTCCTGACACCTCATCCCTTTTAGAAACACAAACAGAATTATTCAGACTGTAAGACTGGATGGAAACGTGGCAAGATGGGGAAACAATAGGATGAGATGACATCCCCTAAGTCTCTGGAATGGAGTGGGAACTACATTTGGATATAAAACAGCTAAGAAAGAGCTGGAGAGGATGGTCTCCAATTCCTGACCCTGACCAGCAAGAAAGAAAGAATTGAGAAAAAGGATGTGGAGAATAATTGTGCAGACATTAATGTAAATAGATTAGAAGGAAGGAAAACAACAAGGGAGATGTTGGTCTGCTTCTCTTTCAGGAATGGAAGTTGATGATGAGTGGACATGGGGAAAGCTGAAGTGTTTAATTAATTTTTCTTCATTATTATTAAATGTTAGTTTTAATTAAAGAAGTAATAGAAATTCTGGCTTGGAAAAGAAACAAAAAATTAGAGAATATTTCAATAAGTATATTCTCAAAGCATATTGGTGTGATGAAAATTGTCCTGGAATTCTTAAGGTGCAGGCACAACCAATTTCAGACACTGACAGTGACACTGGAGAAATCAAAGAGTGGCTGATGTTCCTCAAGTATGGAAAATACAGAAACTAAGAGGTGAAAAATATATCTCAGATTGAAATACACACATTTAGTTCTAGCTGTGTAAACTGAGATTCTGAAATCCCAGAGAGTAAAGAAAGGAAAATCACAGGTGTAAAGTCAGTGGAGCTGAGAGAGCTCCAAATGAAAATGTCTGAATTAAAATGAGCTGGAGGTGTCCCTGATTCCTGTGGTCTGAGTTTGATAGATCTCCATTGACAAAAATGGGAATTTGGGAATAGTCCTCAGTCTTGAAGCTGAATCCCATTCATAATGCTGGTCATAGAAAAAGAGAGAGAGAGAGAGAGAGAGAGAGAGAGAGAGCAGACAGAAGATCCAAGGAATTATGGCAATCTCAATTTAATTATTTGAAAAAACTCAGATTTGCCAAGAGCTTTTCTCTTCATGAAGGAGTGGACCAGGGTAATTTTTTCTTGGTATAGATTAAGCTTCCTTGACAAAAAGACACATTATATGTTCTACATTATTATTTTAGCAAAGTTTTAACTTTGATATAGGTGGAATTACAGCAGATTACTAATCTGAAAGCCACAGGTACAGGATGTTGGACTGGGGTTTACATTCACAATGAAAGAATGAATTGAGCAAAAGTTTTTCACTACTGAGTTCAGGATTATTCAGCATTTTCTGTAGTGACTTGGACAATGAAATGCAAAGTTCCATTAATTGTGAATATGATCTCAAGGTGGGAAGGGAGAGAGGGTGAAAACACTTCTTTAAACTGGATTAAGATATAGAAGACTTGCATGAAGTAGTGGTGATAAAACAGGCTTCAATTCAGCAAGGGCAGATGGAGAATATTTAGGAAAAATCAACAACAAATACAAGAAAGAGCAGAACTGCAGTGAGGGATTTGGGGTTGCAAGAGTCCATGGAGCAAGTGCAAGTCAAAAAAATTGAAGTGTGTTGCAAATAAAGAAATCCTTCTAATCAAGATGCATAACTTGGAGTGTCACATTCTTCTCTCAAATTTTATATAAATATTTCTCCATTTCTATAAAATTTGAAATAAGGAATAATTACTTCAGATGGTTCAAGAAAGACTTTTGTTGAAATAAAGAACAATTTTCTGGCAGCAATGACTGTGACTTGGGGCTCAAGGATTGACTGACCAGTACAAACTCATTTCAGTTCTGTTTTTCATGGTTAAATTGGAAGTTCAAGACTGAAGCAATCCTTTTTTTATTGGAATACACAAAGATGGGCAGAAAAGCAAAGAAATCCACTCCCTGAAGTCAGACCTAATGGATTTCTAGGTGAGAAAGAGGCTGAAACTACTTGTGACTGTCCTTCATTAATAGTGAAAATAAAGTTTCCCTCTCTTGCATGGAGAGTTTGCAGATGAATTTGGCTGAGAACTCTGAAATATTCTCCTACTCTAATGCTGAATATTCTGCAGTACCTGAATAAAACTCACCGTTATTCTTGGTCAGAGTTACAAAGAAAATTACACTGAACCAAGTTTTCTTTTTAGTATTTAAAATTACTTCTCAAATCCGGATGCAACTTGAAATAAAATTGCTCTTTTAAAGAGCAATGAATATTGAGCTCAATTAAAGAGCTATGAATGTTCCTGCTGCTCCATCTGTCGAGGTCCAAATCAAAAGTGAGTAAAACAGAATAAAAAAAGCAAATCTCTTTGACATCCTCCAGCCTTTGGTGTGGTACAAAGAAATACAGCCTTGCACCAACAAGAGCAAGGAGAATAAATAGGGAAAATGTTAGTGAAATCAATGGAATTACAATTGTGGTTAGAATTAGACAAAAAAAAACCACAACAAAAAGAAGAAAGTGTGTTATGAACAGAATTAATGATGGCAAGAGTAAAGAAAGAACTCGCTGTGTGTCAGTACTGAGGCTTCCAGAGGAGGAGGCACAAACACCACCCAAAAATACCCAAAAAATGTCCCAAAGTTGTGCTCTTTACCATGCACTGTGAGTGCTGCCGTTGTCTTCTCCTCTCCACACACACAGGTGTACTCCCCAGCATCCCTGACCTCCAGAGCATGGATCAGCAGCTGGGCTGTGCTGCCCTCCTGCCTCACCGTGTATTTTTCACTGGGTTTGAGCACTTTGTGCTTCTTTCTCCACTCCACGGGGGCAGCCCTGGACAGCTCACACTGCAGAGTGGCTGTTGAACCTTCTGTGGCTTCTTCATCCCTCATCTCCTTCTGGAAATGCACAGGCAGGGCTGTGGGGGGGTCAAAAGGAGCAGAATGTGGGAGCATGGCAGAGACTCAACCGTTTCATGTGGTCTGGCAACCACAAGTGATAAGCAAAGTCTTTCCTAATTAAATCCATCAGGATTGGTGACCACTCAGAGAGCCATAAGAGACTGGTTTGGAAAGCTGGAAAACACTTAATTCCAAAGTCAGAGAGGGTTTTTTATGGTGAAGTCCATGGTAAAAAGTGAAGAACCACATCAGTCTCAACTCAGACCTACCTTGGATATTGCCTGCTAGAATGGAAAATAAAGCTTCACCAGAGCATCCAAGTTCTATGGAAATGCAAATTGTTACCGAAAAGGTTTATAAATGGACCTGTATCTGAGGCATCACTTTCACTTTTCCATGAGTGACCTTTAAAAGGTCCTTTCCAAACCAAACTATTCTATAATTTCACCTCACAGTGTGGTCTAGCAGAACTTAACCATCAAATTATACTGAAATGTAAAAAATATCTCCTCAACAAATCCTCTGAACTTTAAGATTGTGACATCTTCACAATCAACATCACAATAATGTGGTTTTCTATTTCTCAGCACCTACTGCTGAACATAAGGATCAAGAAAATGAGTTAGCACCAGGCTGAATATCTGTGATTTTTGCCATGAACCTCCAATCTGCACTTGACATGGATGAAAATTCTTATAGCCAACCAGATATTGCTAAACTTATCAGAAACAGGGCTGCACTTTTAAAGCTGACACTCCTATGCTCATGGACAACAACAACAAAAAAAAAGAAAAAAAAAAAGAAAAAAAAGAAAAAAAAAGGAAAAAAAAGCACTGTTTGAAAATTCTCTCTTTAACTTTGTAGTTCCTTTTTTAAAATTATTTTTACCATTCACTTTGAGTGCAGCCGTGGTTTCCTGCTCTCCACAAGAGCACGTGTAATCTCCAGCATCTGCCAGGACTAAATCATGGATCACCAGCTCAGCCACCGTGCCCTGGCACCTCATGGTGAACTTGTCACTTGTCCCCAGGGTTTTGTGTCCTTTCCTCCAGGCCACAGCAGCTCCAGCCTTGCTCAGCTCACAGCAGAAAGTGGCCGTGCCATCTTCTGTGCCTTCCACGTTCTTCAGCTCCTTCTTAAAGTGAGGAGGGAGGGCTGAAGGTCACAGGTGAAAGAGAGCACTTTAAAATTGGGCAAGTACCGTGTCTTGACTGCCTCACTGGATGAAAACATTTTAAAATGTTTTAGGATGTGCAGAACCTGAGAGCAAGGGATGATTTCATGATCCTTGATTCGTGCTTTGCAACACACCACATTCAGCATCTCACAATGAATTGGAAATCAGTGTTGATTTATAACAGCTCTGAGCACCATAAAAGAGTGAGTTTGGACAGCTGGAAAACACCTTATTCAAAAATCAGAGGGTGTTTTTATGATAAGAGACATGGCATGACTTGGACAACCACACCAGTCTCAACCCCTCAGCTCTGACTGATTTGGAAATCTGTAGAACTACAGTATCAGTACTGGGAGGTATGTTTTGAAGGCATTTTAAGATATAACAACACAAAGCTGATCCCAAGATTTCAAGGAACTATGCACAGCTCTTTCTCAAAATCAGATTAAGAATTAAAATGAACACCACGTTGCTTAGAATTAAAATTTCATAACGTTTCAATTTCATCCAAGAAAACCAAGTGAAATTTCAATGATATGCCCTAAAGAAATTAATGAGTGAAAATACTTCAAAGTGCTATTTCTGACTTCATCAAGCTTTTCATTATCCACTTCCAGCTTCCATCATCAGGAGAGAGCAGGGACTGAAAAGACACTGTGATGCTGTTTATCAGTCCCAAAGGAAGGGATTTCACTGGAAGATATTCCCAGTGGTTGGAACAGCTGCCATAACATTTTAACACAACAGAAGGGACCAAGAGCACACTGTGATCCCACAGGAGGATCACAGATGACAAGGCAGAAAATTCCTATTAACCCGGATATTTTACCATGCACTGTCAGGGAAGCAGTGGTTGTCTTGTCTCCACACACACAGGTGTAATCTCCTGCATCTCCTTCCTCCAGGCTGTGGATAGTCAGCTCAGCAGTGGTGTCCTTCAGCCTCATTTTGTATTTTTCACTAGGTCTGAGCACCTCCTGCCCCCTCCTCCACTCCACCAGGGCGGGTTTGCTCAGCTCACACTGCAGAACAGCCGTCCTGGTTTCTGTGCCTTCCACATTGACAAGATCTCTTTTGAACAGTGCAGGCAGAGCTATGGGTGTAATATGAACAGAGAGGACATCAAAACCATTAACCAGACCTTGGGGAACCCAGGGCTGGGGCCTGTGGCCAGTCCTTCATCATTAGAGGAAAACAAATCAGTCTGGAAATCTGCCTCTAATAGAATACCACAGGATCCCATCAGGATAATTTCCACCATGACTTGCTTCTAACATTAACTTGTTCATATTCATCACTTCACAGCTGATTCCAAAACTCCTCTCTACCTATTTCACTCTGAAATAATCTATCTTGAACATTAATGACCTGAATTTTGATTAAAAGTCATCAGCCAGGGTGACAGCACTGCTGAAGATCCCTGCCTTTCCTAACATCATAATTTGTATTTCTGGTTCAGAAAAAAAAAAAAAAATCATAACATAGCTTCAGGTGCACCTTTAACCCAAAATTTCAAAAGATATAATGACACTAATGTCAGGATTACAGGCTTTTTTTAGCAGCATCCAAAAAGTTGTCTTATGATGTGCCACTAAAATAAAATGAAAGCGACCTAGTGATGAAAATGATAGGTTAAAAGAGGGGAGGAATAGAAATTCCTTCAGCTGGGAGAAAGAAGACAAAGAAAAAGTGTGCAGAAAATCTGGGAGAATAGTTTTCTCCTCAGTTTCCCCTTGTCCTTGGCAGCTTTTTATCCATGAGGGATATCTTAAATAAAAGCTGTTCTTCCATCTATGAGAGCTGTACGTGCACTGCTCCTCCTGGAGGGGCAACCAGAGATCATCACCATTCACCATGGCAGAGCCAGGAACAAAATTTCCCCCATTATTCCTCAAGTCAGGACCTGCTGAATAATGCTGAGGGGTGGGGATTTATTTAAGTACTGTTTCCTCAGCAGAATATACCACAGTCCTGCAGAAGAGGAGGGTGGTCACTCATTCCTGAATGGAAAAACCTCTCACTGAGCTCAGCAGATTTAAAGAACTTTCCTTCAGGTTAAGCATGAAAATCCACTGATGTCAGGAAGACACAATGAGAAATCCCCTGAGAACAACCTTCTGCTGGGGTTCTGCTCAACTCTTGCTCTCTGAGATGAGAAATTCTCACAACTTTTCTTTACTCTGATACAAAGCCATCAGTTTCAAACTGACAGACAGTGGGAGATGGGATGGAACAGCACCAGCAGGTCAAGAAAATGCAGCAGAATCAAAACACCAAAGCAAGTGGGAAGGAGAGAGAGGAAAAGGGATGTCCTTGAGGTACTGCTATCCCAACAGAAAATGGCTTTTTTACCATGGACTGTCAAGACAGCCGAGGTCTTCTGATCTCCACACACACAGCTGTATTCCCCTGTATCTTCCACCTCCAGATCTCGGATCAGCAGCTCTGCAGCTGTGTCTTCCTGTCTCATCCTGTACTTTTCACTGGGTTTGAGAGCCTTGTCCCCTTTTCTCCACTCCACGGGGACGCCGACCGTGCTCAGCTCGCAGCGCAGAGTGGCTGTGGCACCGTCCGTGGCTTCCCTGTTCTTCAGCCCTTCCTTGAAAAATGCAGGCAAAGCTGAAGGACAGCAATATCAGCAGTGAGATGCAGCGCTCCAAAGGGTTAAAATCACTTTTAAGTTTCCTTTTCCCTCTTCTCTTGAACTGGTTTATCAACACAAGAACAGAGATTCTCATGGGTCTCCGTGAATCAGAGTTGGGAAAGAAATGTCATCACCAGGAGAGGATTTAATATTTGCAGTAATCCACAGAGGTATTTTACATGTACTTAGAGTCACAAATCAATACAAATAGAGGTCAAACCACCATTTTTTTCCCTGTGAAATTTCAATCAAAAAGAACAAACAATTTGAAATTTCTGGAAAGAAAATGGTTTTCTTTTATGACATTTTAAACCAAAACGGGAGGATGTTTGCTGTGTTTCCACATACTTAATCAAACAAAGAGACATTTTACATTTAAAAAAAAATGAAACCCGGAGTTTCATTTTAAATGTCAGTTTGAAATGAAATTGTTCATTTCAAGACATGGTGGGAAAACAAGCATTTTCACCTGAACTGACATACCCTTTCAAAGACGTCAGGTTCAGTAAAAATCAAAGTTTTCCCTGAGAATGGTTGTCCTTTAGAAGTTCTGGGCCTGTTTTACACAGAACACCAACTGAATTCAATGACAACTGGACTGTAAGTATAAAAGCATTCTGTTGCCTCAGGAATGGAGTATGGGCATAAGATTCTATGGAATAACCTAACCTTTTGGAATTTTATGAAACCTTAAAATCCCTAAAACCTAATCCCTTTGAAGCAACCCATTTTTGTCCTGAGCATAGTGGAGAGTCTAAGAAAGGATCTTTCAAGGGAAAAGCAAAATGATGGCCCCTAATTAAGAGTGGCAGAGACCCTGGTTGCCTTACTCTGAGCTTGGACATCAACATCCCTGTCGTGCCACCAATTCCAGCTGCACAGATGCCAGTGGGTGCATTTCACTGGCATTGGTGAGCTGTGGATAAAGGTGTGGCTGAAGGAGATGGGGGTGTAAGCAGGGGTCTGTCCAAAGGAACAGAGAAATCAGGGTAGCTACTTCCAGGATGTGCCTTGTTTCTTTTGTTTTACCATGAACTGTTAGCACTGCCATGGTCTGCTGGTCTCCACACACACAGGAATAATTCCCAGCATCCGCCGTGTCTAGATTTTGGATTATGAGCTCAGCCACGACACCTTCCCTCTTCATTTGGTATTTGTCACTGGGCTTGAGGGTCTTGAACCCCTTCTTCCACTCCACGTTAGCAGCAGCCTTGTTCAGCTCACAGTGCAGGGAGACACTTTTACCCTCGGTGGCTTCTTTGTCCGTGAGTCCCTTGGTGAAAAGAGCAGGCAGGACTGCAGAGCAAACACGGACATGGCATCAACCCTGGGAAAGCCTCAATCCATGACTTAATCCCTCTCTTATCTCCCTGGAGCCACCAGGCCTTCTTGGTCTCCTCCAGGATTTAGTTCCTCCACAGTTTTTCTCCAACCTCTAACCCTTCAAAAGATAATTCAGTCTCATTTTTATTTTTTTTTTCTGAGCTCACACTTTAAAACTTTCTTTAAAATCAAGTCTATCTGCAAGATAGTTGACAAGCCAATGACCTTTTACTTCATACACCATAAAATCAAAGACATAAAATTAGAGGCTGTATTTCAATATGAGACCCAGAGCACTTTGCTTCCCTTGAGAAAAGCAGGAGTTCTACAGGAGGGTCTGATTCATGGCACTGTCTGAATTTTTATAAATAAGAGTCCCTTAAAGCAGAGCAGTTGCAAACATGCTGTCAGTTTTTTGCAGAAATAAAATATTTGCTTGGGAAGTATGAAGCCAAAATTGGTAAAAAAGAGCTGGGAATAGCAGGAGCATTAAAAGCCTATTTTTTACTAAGATTGCCCTTGTGCAGCATCAGACATTGATGAAAACTTGTTCCTCTTAGGAGCAACAAGTGCCATGGTCTAAGTCACGAAAAATAAATATTATTCCCACTTTTAGGTCAGTTCCTAAGGGAAAACTTCTAAACAAGCAGCTATTCTGGACTAGGGAGGTTGTGTTGAATTGGGAACCAGTTCTCCACTTGTCTTTTGGCTAAAGCACCTTGGAAGCACGTAAAGAAGGTATCAGGTTAAAGGAGAAATAGAGAGAAGGAAGAAAGGATAGGAAAATTAATCAGCAGAAAGGAGGATTGGAAGTACACAGGGATCAGAGGAAGCAGAAATAAGAGAGGAAGAGATCTTGGAATTGCACAGGTCGACTTGGGGCACGTGCTGAGAATTTCTTTTTTACCATTTACTGCCAGAGCAGCCGTAGTCTGTCGGTCTCCACACACACAGCTGTAATCCCCAGCGTCTGCCAAATCCAAATCCCGGATTGTCAGCTCCACAAAGGGACCTTCCTGCTCTATTTTGTACTTTTCACTCGGCTTCAGCACCACATTCCCCTTTTTCCACTCAACAGGGGCTGGTTTGCTCAGTTTGCAGTGCAAAGTGACTGCCTCCCCCTCTGTAGCTTCCTTGTTCATCAATTCTTCTTGGAAGAGGATAGGCAAGGCTGAAGGATGCAATACCAACAGAGAAGGAATCAGCACCAGAACGAAATGAACTGGAGTTACTGGGCTGCAGTGTGTACACTCAATCAAAAATGCTCTGTTTCTAGGTGGGTACTGTCAAAAAGGGGAGTAAAATCTCCTAGAGGGGAGAGAAATAAATTAAACAATATACAACATATAGGTACTGTCTCAAGGCAAAAAAAAAGCACAAGGGAATATTTTATAATAGGGTGACTCTGGCACCACAGAGCCAAGAAGATTAAACTAAGAAATCACACTGATCAAGCTCTGGTTGACCAGGAAATGCTGCCAAAAGTGCTACATTTGGGGTTTAAAAAGAATCCCAGTGGGTAGGAGGGTTACCATTCACTCTCAAAGCAGCTGTGCTCTCCTGCTCTCCACACACACAGGTGTAGCTGCCAGCATCTGTCAGGTCCAGGTCTTGGATGACCAGCTCTACAAAGCGCCCTTCCCTCCTCATTCTGTATTTCCCGGTTGGGATCAGCTCCTTCCCGTCCTTCCTCCAGCGCACGGAGCCTCCCGGCCGGCTCAGCTCGCACTGCAGCGTCGCCGTCCCGCTCTCCGTGGCCTCCTCGTTCCTCAGCTCTTGCTTGAAACGGACTGGCAGGGCTGAGAGATGCAGAATGAGAAGGGATTGCCACCCTACAGCCCGCTCAGAGGCTGGATCGTGATTTATTGTCGTGGGTCTACCCAAGCCTTACTCCTTCCACCCTTAAACGCATCCTGTCTTTTTTTTTTTATGGATGGTAAAGGAAATTCTCTAGTGAATTGTTCTGTGGGAGTCAACAAAACCGTGATCTTGGCTGAGATCACGCATCAAGAGGGACAAACTCATTCTCATCATTACACTACGATGAACCCTCTGAAACAGAAAACCCCAAGGAGTCTTGGGATTCCATGCTAATTCAGGAAAACACACGTGCAGGACAACACCCTTCACTCGAGGGAAGGTGAGAAGACAACACAACACACACACATCCAACATGAACTATAATAAAATGGAGACTGGGGACAGGAGTGACACGAGCAAGTGGATGGAAGAAAGTAGTGGAAGCAGGACATGAAGGAAGTTGTTGTGAGGGAATGTACAGAGAGGAGGAGGGAAGAGGTGGACAAAAACATTCCAGAGTTTCACAGGTTATCTCTGCCTTTTTACCATTCACTGACAAGGCTGCTGTGGTTTTTTGGTTCCCCACTAGACATGAATAGTCTCCAGCATCCTTTGGCTCCAGGTCGTGGATCAGCAGCTCAGCCACGGTGCCCTCCTGCCTCATCTTGTACTTGTTACTCGCCCGGAGAAGAGTTTGCCCCTTCCTCCACTGCACGGGGGCCTCTGTGCCCAGCTGGCACTGCAGGGTGGCTGTCCCACCTTCCACAGCTTCCACGGGCTTCAGCTCTTCTTTGAAGAGCACGGACACAGCTGAGGAGTGAAGCATTCTCAGTTTACTTCAGGCGCATCGTCACCACCTGGTGACCTCACACGGGACTTAAAGCCACAACAAATTCAAACTCTCTTGGCACACACAGCAAAGAAGCTCTGACCTACCTGCACCTCCAGGAGTCTGCTGATATTTACAGTAGCAACAAGAGTTTTGGACCAAATAAAAAAAGAACAATTATTTCCCAATGATTAGAACACCAAAATAATTCCCCTTCTGCTGCCCAAAGTTTTTGGTCACAGACATGTAAACACTTGTTGAGAAAGTGGAGAGAAGAATGGAATATTCTTTAATAAAGGGTGTAGCTGAGACCCTTCTTACCTCTTGGCTTAGAGCTTGGACAGGCAGCTCTATCCAAAGCATAAGAGACATTTCATAGGGAAAAAAAGATATTACTTTATCAGGTACCTTTGATTGATATACTTTAGCATGAAGTTATCCCCAAAAAAACAAAGAATACAACGGACCCAGCCAGAGCTGCCTCATGTTTGTGCTGATCCCTGTTCTCCTGAACACTCTCTGGAAGTGTGCAGGGGTAGCAGGACCGTGGCAAGAACAACAACAAATGGTCACAAGCAGGTGTCTCATTCCTACCATGGATTTTGACTTGGGCTGTGGTCTGCTGGTCTCCAGTGTCACAGGTGTATCTTCCAGCATCTTCTGGCTCTGCATTATGAATCACCAGCTCTGCCACTGTTCCCTTCTGCTTCATTTCATATTTGGCACTTGCCTGGAGCGTGGCTTCTCCCTTCTTCCACACCACGGTGGCATCAGCTTTTGAGAGTTCACAGCGCAAGGAGACGGATTTCCCTTCTTCCACATCCGTGTTCTCCAGGGCTTGTTTGAAAAGCACAGGCACAGCTGGAACACAGAGCCAGGGGTTAGGACAGGCCCTCTTGATCTGCTCTGCATCCAGTCCCCCCATGAGAGCTGTCACCTCTTAAATCCAGCCCTTTTCCAAATGGCCAAGTGGCATCGAGGAGATTCTGCCTGGGAGCAAGAATAAGGAATAAATCTCTCCCTCTGATGTTACCACCTCACTGTGGATTCCTAGAAATGTGGAGGAAGCTTCTTTTATTTTTAAATAGGACCCTTTCAGGCTCCTCTGGGCACTGTCACCTAATGAATTCCCTGCTCCTGTGTTGGAACCCTGGATACTGAGAATTTTAGGCTTTCTGTGCTAACAGGCACTGACCCCCAGGAAAACATTACTTTTGACCTGAGGCTGTAGAAAAAGCTTCCAAAATTAAATAACAGAACTAAGATCACTAGTGTGTAGTTTGCATAGAACTATGCAGTATCACATAGTGAAAAATTTGGAATTTGAAGTTTTAAAATATAGTAATATATAAAAAACAAGATAAAAGTTTTAAGGCAAAAGTTTCTTTCTTCTTCACCTTCTTCTTCATGGGTCTAGGTAATTTTTTGTAATTAGATAAAAAAACCCACATTGCAAGCCATGGGTTATTAGTTATTAAGTTAAAAAATAACAATAATTGAAGTAGCATTTCTTATTTAGACCATTTAGCCTTAAAAGGCCTTGTAAAGAGAGAAATACATCACCATTTTTAGCTTGTTAGCTAAAAATACTGTAAAACTCGCTGTAATATAAATAAAAATTAATAAACATCTGAGTCCAAACACAAAACACCATCTCTCAAACATTTAATCCCAAGTCTGACAAAAAAAAACCCAAACAAACAAAAAAAACCCCAACCCCACAATATTCCTGCAGGGCTCTGCAATAACATTCATGTCTTATATTTCTCCTGCTTTCTGCTCCAGCACATACTACTAAAGGCAGTGCATTTGTTTAAGGGCAGTGGAGAGTGGAGAAGGCATTTAAGAGTCTTTGAAAGGATGTTTTGGGGAGTCTGGAGTCTATTAATTACTTGATCACCTTCAATTTTCCAGGGACTGGATTCATATTTTCACATCCTTATACTCCAGTACTACTGGTCTCCACCTCCAATTCCAGTTTTAATCACAGCCATGTAAAGCAGCTGATAGGACAGGAACCAAAGCACAGAGAAAATTAATCCTCTGCACTTAATTTTTTTTCCCCCCTCAGTGAACAGCTACAGATTGAAAATCCCAGACACAGAATATGAGATCACATGAATTAAATACATACAGATGCCTACAAGGGTGCAATATTACCTTTTAATTTTTTTTATTAAAGATAGCACTGCCACAAAAAAAAATGAAGTGTTATGTGAGTTATTTATGTTTAATAGATCTATTAAACAGTTGATTAAGTGTGGCAATGTCTCAAATTGTACCCACCATTCACTTTGACTCGAGCAGTGGTTTTCAGTTCCCCAGCAGTGCAGGTGTAATCCCCAGCATCTATGGATTTCACATCTCGAATTATGAGCTCTGCCACTGTCCCATGCTGCTTAAATTCATACTTCTCACTGGCATAGAGAACAGTGTCTCCCTTCATCCACTTCACTGGGGTACCAGGTTTGCTGAGCTCACAGGTCAGCCTGACCTGCTTTCCTTCTTTGGCTTCTTCGTTTTGGAGCTCTTGCTTGAAAAGAACTGGTGTTTCTAAAAAAGGAATAACACCAGTGTTAAAAGAAACACTGAGGTTGGAAATTGCTTTTCTCTTTTAGTATCAGACTTCGCTTTTGAGACAGAAAACCACAAGAATGGAAAAGCACTAGCAAAGAGTAAACAGATCCTGACATCTCACATCTGGCTGCCAGCACTTTACAGAAGGAGAAAAAAAGAATTGAGGCCAGATGCTTATTTTCTTTTAAACCACTACCTGCACTGCTGAAGATGCTGCTGCCCTTACTGCTTTTATTATTAACATCAGTGGCAGATGCAGTTAATGACACAAACTGTGCTGCAGATGGCTGCTCAGAGCTGGACCACCACCACAAAAAACATAAAACTTCACTGAGGTCAACTCACACACAACACAGAGGACACAGAGGAATGGCAAAGCACTTTCTGTCATGGCCAACAATATTGATTTCTCATCATGAAAAACCCCTAGACTGTATTTTTTTATCCAGCATGAACACAGATTAAAACCAGCACAGAGCAAACACAGAGAGGGAAGCACAGCTGAACGTGGCAGGGTCTCTGTGGAGATCCCCCTGCAGCCTCTGGCACAGCCTGGGATTCAAGGCTTTAAGGTGAGCTAGCACAGGGAAAGCACTTTTGGGGGAAAACAAACTCAGCTGAAATGTTCAGATAAGGAAAAAGTGAATTCTTGAATTATGCTGTCTGAAAAATATGCAAGTCAGCTACTGACCTGTGATGCACTTAGCCTGTGGCTGTTGGAAATCTACACCCTATTATCCTGTTCTCCTTCCACTTCCAGTTTGAGATACTCAGTGTCACAGGACTACTGAATTTCTGCTTTCTATTTTTGCATTCTGCTGTTCTGATGTGACTCTGATAGAGCAAAAGTTTTCCAATCACACAATTTCTTGTAGACATCCTCATGACTTGACTCCTTGACCTGAATCAAGGTCCACATCCTACACCCATCCACACCCTTCCCTCTGAGGGGAAAAATGAGGCTGTTTATGTGGGTACATTACATATTTGGTTCTTTTCTAACAGAAAATCGTTCCTGCTGGAGTCAACACAGATCTTTGTGCTGTGTGCAATGGATATTAGGAAAATATCCTTGTGCTACAGAAAGACAGAAAATCGGGATCATTAACAACCAGCTCTTCTTCATTGCATCATCAAGGTCTTCTGTTCCTTGCACAGCCTCAGGTTGGTTCTTTGTGCTCTAGAAAAACCCTGTGAGCAGCTTGTCCTCCCACTCAGTGCTCTGGGGTTCAGGTTGACCATTCCAGCAACTCAAATGCTTTTTTTGTTCACGTTGACTTCCCCCATCCAGATGCAGGTGCTGCTCAGTCCATCCCAAATGTGTAACACCAGCTGCACACGGGACATCCTCTGGTCTGGATAAGCACAGCCTGTGCCTGTGAAATCCTCCCTGTTCCTGCCCCAACCTGCCCAGGAGAATGATTTAACTCACTCACAGAGTGATTTAACCCAGAGACAGAGCTCCTCCTAAGCCTGGGGCTGGGACAGTGACTCAGGACAGGTAGGAGCAATTATAAGGTGGTATTTGGGGAGCCTGGTTCTGACCTGGCTAAAACCCAACCCAAACCTAACTCAGAGTTAAAAGGCTCATCTAAGAAGAGAACTTTTGCCTCAGCACAGACAACAGCCCTTTAGTTCATAGAATCATAGAACACTTTGGATTGGAGGGGCTCCTTAAAGTTCATATCTATCCCAAACCTTCTGCCATGATCCCAGACACCTTCAACCAGACCAGGCTGCTCAGAGCCCCATCCAACCTAACCTTGAATGTTTCCAGGGATGGAGCATCCACCACCTCTCTGGGCAATCTCCTGTAGTGTTTTACCACTCTCATTGTAAAAGACTTCTTCCTTACTTCTAATTAAATTAACCCTCTTTCACTTTAAACCATCTCCCCATGTCCTATCAAGCAGGACAGCACCTCCTGCCCTGTGATGATCTTTGGGGCATTGCTCTGAATAAATCTGGCTGCCTAAAGCACCTAAAGCAATTGCACAGACAGATGTGGGGCTGTGAGTTCCCTCCTTGGAGAGAGCCATCACTGGAGACAGCTCTGGGAGCTGATCCATCCTTTCTGTGGATTATCTCTTAGCCTGGGCTGTTCTACTGCTCTCTTTTTGGGGTTTGGAATGAGATGATCTTTAATGCACCTTCCAAACCCAAACCATTCTAGAATTCCACGATTTTCAGAGGCACTGAAGTTCTTCAGAGCTAGAGCCAGGTCAGATCAAGAATTCTCCTGTTTCACATTCCATCCCCTCTCTGGCTGCTGTTCCAGATGACTTGAAGAGAACACCTCAGTGCACACCACAAGGCTCCTTTTCAGTGTAATTTCATGTTTGTATCAGTTAATTTGTATTTCAGTTAATTACACTGTGCTCAGTGTAAGGCCCCAAACCATCATTCCAAAAGTTCTTCCCCTTGACAGTAATGACTGCCCTGCTTTTGGCTGCTCCAGCCTCACACCCACATCTGTCACTGCCTCTCTCTTCTGCCCCGTGAATGACAAGCTTGGCTTCAAACCCTGACTGCCTGATGTTATATTTGGAAGAATTCCTAAGGCTCTTCCCATCTTTGCACCACTTCTCAGGGCTGTCTGATCTGGAGGTTTCACACTGAAGGCTCACATCCTCTCCCTCAGTGACTTCAGTGTCAACCAGCTCCTTTGTGAAGACACAGGGCTTCTCCAGACTCATGGAAAAACCATCTGAGATGGTCCAGAAGAGGTGTGGATTCTCAGATCACAAGTAATCAGTGAGATTTGGATCCAGGCTTGCTTGTATCAAAGCTGTAAGTCAGGGTTAGTAACAAATAATTTGGTGTTCGTGACTATAAAGCCCTCAGGAAGGCACCAGTGATGTTGTAAAGTGTTGTTTAACTATCAAATGATATCTGGGAGACACTGAAGAAAGGAATCCTGCTGAAGAACATAAATAATCAGCCTTTTGCAAATAAAAACTTTCATCTTCCTTCAGGAAAAAGAAATCCATTCGCGTTTCTGCAGCTTCGCAAAATTTGGGTAAATTTTCAACTTTTTTAACAAGAAAAGTTCTTCAAAATAAATGTGGTTATTCTGTAAAAAATGAGATTATGATCTGACACAGTGGAGACTGTGTGTTTTACATCTCTGGGCAATGAGAAGTATTTCTATTTCCAGTAACATCTCTCTAATCCCACATTCCTGGGCTGTCTGGCATTCATTTTATGTCTTTGCTACCAAACACTGCAGTTTTACCTCAGTTTAACTTCTCCAGAGAAAAACAATCCATTGTCAACAATGAATAGCAGAGAGCAGTTGCAATGGTGCCTTTCAAACAATGAAAACTGAATTTAAAACTTACTGGTTGCCCTTTTTTTTTTTTTTTTCATTGAATTAATTGATTTCTCCTCATGAATCATCACCTTTCCTTGAGGAAAACTGAACGAGGCATCCACTGTACCATCAGTGCACTAAAACATTCCCATCTAAATCCAATAAACGCTCCAAGAGTTGTCCAGGATTACAAAGAGTTCATTCTCCAGCCTTAATTTCATTATATAATTAAAGTTACTCTTGATCATGTACAGATATACAATGATGGTGCTAAATTTGTAGCATTTCTGTTATTTTTTTTTTCCACCTGCCCACATCAACCCCACTTATTTCTACTCATCGTTTCCTCTCCTGCAGTTGTGATGATGGATTTACCTTTAACAACCAAACTGGCAGATGTTTTCTTATCACCAGCTTCAAATGTAATGACCCCCGAGTCCTTCAGTGAGAGCTTTTTCAGCGTTAGCAGGTGATATCCACCAGGCTGGGACTGGATCTCATTAAGTTCATTGGTATGGAGTGGGGTTTTATCCAAAAACCACTGCACTCTGCTATAGTCTACGGGAGAGATTCTGCACTTGAACATGGCAGATTCTCCTTCTAACACAGTGACATCCTCCAGGTCTTCTGTTATTAGCACTTTCTGGCCTGAAAGGAACATAAATACATCAATTACTGGAATCTTCAGTTTCTGGCGTGAAAAATCGACAAGGAAAACTCCCAAGATTTCCCACGTGAGCATTTCAAGTAAGAAACACGTTCAGGACAGAAGATTGAAACAGAATTCCCCCGATATTGACCACAAAACCCACTCACAGGACACACAGCAAAATAGGGTGAAGACAACTTGAAAGCACCAGAAAACATAAAGCAGAACAAGTAGCCAGTACCATGCAAATCCAAGGTTGTAAATTTTCTCCTAATGAAATCCCTGGAAAGGTTGGAGGGATGAGTCTCTGACAGCATCATTGGGCTCTAAATGTCACCAAGAGATGACCTCTCCCTTGACAACCTGCCTGATTTTCTACAGCAAAACCAACATTATTTCTATGGGATAGGACCACTGATCCCACACCCTTCTTGGAATTCAGTCTAACCATAAACACAGTGGGAAATGGAGAAAATGTCTGACTGTGGCTTTGGTAAAAAAAAAACCGAAATATCTGCCCTAAAAACCTCCCTGTATAGATAGATACATCCCTAACTGAAAATAAACATTCATACCAAGATAAACCTCACTATAAATATATATAAAATAAGGTTATTACTCTGTATACAAAAATTCTCTGATGTTCCTCCTACTTATAAAACCAGAACAGGGATGTTTTACTTTGATGTTCATGACAGAGAAGTGGTTTTTTCCATTCAGAAAAGCTGGTGTTAAAAACCTCAGAGTGAATTCAGACAGCTGAGAGCCTGAGGTTATGATGGAGATTAAACACATTACTTTGCTTCTTGAGGATGCTGTAGCAGATGATCAGAGGAGAAGTCTGACTTTACCTTCTTGCCTTGAAAAACTACAATAATTAGCAAGTGGACACTGCTGCTGCACCTCCATCTGATTATTCTTGAATCATTTCTCCAAGGGGCAGGGTTAGATGGGATATTGGGAAGGAATTCTTCCCTGTGAGAGTGTTGAGGCCCTGGCACAGGGTGCTCAGAGAAGCTGTGGCTGCCCCTGGATCCCTGGAAGTGTCCAAGGCCAGGTTGGATGGGGCTTGGAGCAGCCTGGGACAGTGAAAAGTGTCCCTGCTCATGGCAGGGGTGACACTGGATGGGTTTTAAGTTCCCTTCCAACCCATCCCATCCCATCCCATCCCATCACTCTATGGACCATTCTATTTCTCCATCACCTCTTAGAAACCACTCCTGGGAAGCAGAATCAAGGGGTCTTGAGAAAAGCCTGAAGGGAGGAAAACTCTCCTTCATCCAACAGCAGGCACTGTGAATCACATCCATTTTATGTTCACACAGGAACACCAATCTCTCCCCTCACATGAGCCTTTGGGGGGTTCAAATCACACCCAAAATGCCCCAGGTGTAATTGTTTCAATCTGCTCTGCACGTCCAGCTCTACATTCCTACATTTTTTGGCCACGTGTTCCTGCCACCATGAGAGAGACAGAAGCAGAAACCCGGGGCTCTGCTGCCCTGCTGAGATACAGCTCTGAGATACAGCTCTGCCAGGGCAGGAAAGGGATGTGCAGTCACCACTCATACCTTGCACAGTTAGCTTGGCTCTGGACTGGGCATCCCCAATGTCACAACTGTAAGTGTCACTGTCACTTTTCTCCAAGTTCTTTATGGTCAGCTGGAGGACTTGTCCTTTCTGTGTGATCTCATATTTCCTGCCAGCCCTGAGCTCAGCAATGCCTTTCCTCCAGACCACAGAGGATGCAGCTCTCTCACTCTGGCACACAAAAACTGCAGTTCCGCTTTCGTCGACTTTCAGGTCTGAGAGTTCCTTCACAAAATAATTAGGCTTTTCTGGAAGGAAAAAAAAATAAAGAAATTAAAAAAAAATAATGAGAGACAGATTTGTTATCCAAACTAATCCTGAGCATGCAGAGTGGTCTTGAATCCTCTCTGTTCCAACTCATAGAATCATAAAAAAAAAAATCATAAAATCATTTAGGCTGAAAAAAACCCACTAAGGTCACCAAGTCCAACTATTAACTTAATTAAACCATATCCAAATAACCACAGCTACACATCTTTTGAATCCCCTCAGTGGTGGTGACTCCACCACTTCCCTGGGCATCCTGTTTCAATGCCTGACCACCCTTTCCATGAAGAAATTTCTTCTTATATCCAATCTAAATCTTGAGGCCATTTCCTCTCATCCCATCAGATGGAATGCATCTAACACCACCAGGTTCCCCTCCTGCCACAGGACATATTAGGTAAAATATCTCCAGGAAAGCTTAATGCCATGGTCCAGACAATTGCAGACAGTTTTCATCACTCATATTCAAAATAGAATAATTCAAACTGCCAGTTTTGATTGGCTTGTTACAGAGCCCATGAGATTGTTCAGTATCCACAAGGTTTTTTTTTTCATATCTAATTTTTAAAGCTTTTAACCAAAGATATTTTCATAAAATTAAAAATTGATCCTGCCCAGAGAGATGGAGGAGAAGAAGTCTCCCATGGTTGCAGATATTTGCACCCAACCTCTGAACCTGCCAGCTCCTCTGCACCCTTGCACTGACCTTGCACTGTGATCCTGGCTGTTGTTTTGGAGGTCTCTGTCTCACAGGTGTATTCCCCACTGTCCTTGACTGTGGAGTCACGGATGATGAGAGTGGCCCGTGTCCCCTCCTGCTGCAGGTCGTATTTCTGGCTTTTCCTGATTGCTTTGCCATCCTTGTACCACCTGATGTTCACATCAGCTTTGGAGAGTTCACAGCTCAGGCTGATGTCCTGCCCTGCTGGTGATGTCTTATCCTCCAGCTGTTTTGTAACCTCAGTAGGTTTTTCTGCAGAGATTAAAAAAAAAATAAATAAAAAATACCAATACCTTTGAATGAAAATCATCTCTATATGGTTGGGGTTTTTGTAATTCAAATCCCAGAATGGTTTGGACTGGAAGGGATCTTGAAGATCATCCAGCTTCACCCCTGTCATGGGCAGTGACACCTTTCACTGTCCCAGGTCGCTCCAAGCCCTGTCCAACCTGGCCTTGGACACTTCCAGGGATCCAGAGGCAGCCACAGCTTCTCTGGGCACCCTGTGCAAGGCTGGAACAAGATGATGGAAGGTTCCTTCCAACCCAAACCATTCTGTCATTTCCTGATTCTGTGGAAAAGGACTAACTACACATTATGAACCATGTCTGAAAATTAGTAATTTCTTCTCTCCACTGACCACCCAGGAGCCTTGGGTGATTATCTCTGATGCACAATCTGGGCTGTAATTATCTGTAGAAACTACCTAGTATAGCCAGTTCTCAAATATCTACTAAAAGTTTCAGTATTTCACTTGTTTCTAAGGAAAATCTCAAGCCTTCAATTTTCCAGGACTTTTCTGATCCCCTTACCTTTCACAACCAAGGAAGCCTTGGAGGTGAGACCACGGGCAGTGAAGATGACCTCCCCAGTGTCATCAGGAATCACATTTTTGATACTCAGGGTGTATTTCCGACCTGTGTTGGAGGCTTTAAATCTCCCCCCACTTTCCACTTTTCTCCCATTCAGAGTCCAGTTGAAATCATCAATGCTTTCATGGGACAAAACACACTCAAAAGTGCAGTCTTCTCCCTGCTGGATTTCAGTGTTCTTGAGCCTTTTGGTGATGCCAATGTTCAGTTCTGGAGAACAAAAATTATATTAATATAAGTTAAAAATGCTTTTATGAGTAAAGGAGTGGAGTAATGGTGGTTTTAGCTCACAAGAAGGGTTTATCTGCTAGATTGGCAGGACACCACTGCATTCCTTACAGATGGCTGTGACATGCGAAGGAGTTTTCAGACTCAGAATCATCCCAAAGTTGTACAAAAAGAGAAATGTGAATCTCCTGGCTGTGCTCAGGAAGGACTGAATGAAGAACAGCTCAATGGGGAAGATTCAAGATTGAAAAAATTAGAGAAAAGCTGTCAGAAGAGAAGCCTCTGGGACAACAGGTGAGGTTCCTCTCCATGCTGATAGGTGAAATGGGATGTTTGAATTTTTTGACTTGTTACTGCTGGTGTTCAAACCAGGTAAATTCTAATTTTTCTCATTAACATTATGAGTTTGGAAGCCATGAACAAACCTTTGTCCTTCAGGCTGACACAAGGTTCACAGGGCAGGCTGAACCACTGGGTTCCTCATAGTCCTGCTATGGACTCTGACTCAATAGCTCAAAATATGAAACAGCCTGCTTGGGGGATTTTTTTGTTGTTAGTTTGGATTTTTTTTTGTGAAACTTTTGCTTTTCTGGGAGGATTTCTGCACTTTAGCAATGTTCAGGAAGAAAATATTGTCACTACATTCCTGACACCCGGGTTTTAGAAATCCCAGATATATTTACACCAAAATTAACAGGGATTGTTCAGACATCACAGTATTATGTGAGATTTGTTCAGGAACAGGTGAGAACCCAAGGGACCAAGCCCACCCATATTTTTAACACCCTTTGAGAGGCCACTGTCTACAACACTTACCCTGAACGCTGACCTTTGATTTGGCAACATCAGTGCCGATGTCACAGGTGTATAACCCCGCATCTGTCTTTTCAAGGTCATGGATAAGGAGGCACAGGGTCTTCCCAGACTGTATCTCCTCATACTTCTTGCTGGGAGTGATCTTCACACCATCCTTTTTCCACACAGGTTTGACCTTCTCTTTGGAGACTTCACATTCCAGTTTGATCACTCCTCGCTCCTCACCGAAAACATCATCCAAGGATTTCATGAAGACAGCAGGTTTCTCTGAAGGTCAAGAGGCAAAACAGAGAACAACCAGGATGTTTGGGACACTTTCACAGTTGCTATCAAATATTTAGAGATGCTAATAAACCCTTGGCAATGCTGCTGATACCAATGCAGAACTTAAATCTGTGTCACCATCCAGCACCCCCAAGTTCTCATCCTGCTCTCAATTCTTCATCCTCCTCCAAATCCCTTTATCCAAAGGTTGTTTTGACACAAGGGTGCAGGTGCAGCACCTCACACTGGCCTTGTTGAACCTCAAGAGGTTCACATGGTCTCAGTTCCTGAGTGTGTCCATGTCCCTCTGGCTGGCACCTCAACCCCCAGGCATGTCACATGCCCCACTCAGCTGGGTGTCACCTGCACACTCACTGAGGGTGCCCAAGAACCTGTTAAACCACAGAAACTCAGTGGTGTGACTGAACTTTGGGACATGTGAAGGACAGTAAGAAACTGTCTTCTCATGGGTGATTGAATCCAGCTCCAAACTGATGCATTAAACCCCATAGAATTATAGAATATTCTGAGTTGGAAGGGACCCACGAGGATCATCCAGTCTAACATTTGTCCCTGCACAGACACCCTAACAACCCCACGTTGTCCAAACACTCCTGGAGCTCTGGCAGCCTTGGGACCATGATCATTCCCTGGGGAGCCTGTTCAGTGCCCACCACCCTCTGGGGGAAGAATCTTCTGCTGATATCCAACCTAAACCTCCCATGACTCTGGGACTCAAGTCCTGTCACTGGCCACCAGAGGGAAGAGATCAGTACCTGCCCTTCCACTTCCCCTGACATGAAGATGTTGAAGCCCCACAGCAAGGTCTCCCCTCCACCTTCTCCAGCTGACCAAACCAAGTGACCCCAGCTGCTCCTCTCAAGGCTTCCCCTCCAGACCCTTCACCATCCTCATGCCCTGTATTTAACAGCTCAACGTTCTTTACCTATTAAGCAGGATTGCCTCATGGATTTGGTAAATAATGGCATTTTTTTGCATTTCTAATTTGCATTCAGGGGCACGATCAGGACCCACCTATCACCTTCAGCTGCACAGTCTCTGACACCTTGTCTGACTTCATTGTCACCGTGCCAGCATCCTCAGGCTTCACCTGCTTCATGGTCAGCATGTAGCACTTGCCAACGCTCTTGATGTCGTTGAAGTTGTTGGTGTAGAGGAGGGTGCCATTGAGGAACCACTCCACGTCCTCATCATCGTGGGACAGCTCACAGGAGAACACAGCAGAGCTGTCCTCCTCAATCTCCACGTCCTGCAGGTGCTTGAGCACCTCCACATTGCGGGCTGAGGGAAACCAAGGGGCACTGTCACCACCACCACCATAAATGAGCAATCACAAACAATTTCATGGAGTTTATCAGATGATTTGTTCTGGTCTCCTGCACGCCTTTGGTCACTCCATTTCACTTACCTGGTTCTGCGTTTGCTCCAACAGGAAAAAAAAATTATTTAAAAGACTAATCAAAATTGTCTAGAACTGAGAACCCTCCATCCTCTTTTTTTTTTTTTTTTTTAATATAAATCAGTTTGGACGTTTTGCTTGTGTTTTATTTATAAATAAGCAATTTTTCTAAAATGATGTTACAGTGACCCTAAGCATCCCACAGAGCTCCAATCCCTGTGTTCTTGTCACTGCACACAAACACATTTTAACTAAATTGTCCCTCATTTCCAGGGAAACTGTGACACAGAGGATGAGATGACAACAATGATTTTGGCCACAAAGGAAAGTAAAGAGAGATTAAGCAACTTGCTCAGGTTTAGGGAGCAAGAGGATTTTGATTCTTTTCTTTCCCAGTCCTTGGGCAGAGATTTCTCCTTGCAGCTTCTCTGCTCATGGAATGCTGTTTTCAAGGATGAGATAACTCAGAAGATGGCTTGGGACTATTACTTTTTTTTTTTAATATACATACATGTTTGGATAGAATGGAGTCACAGAATCATTTAGGTTGGAAAAGACCTCTAAGACTGACTCCAACCATTCCCCCAGCACTGTCGAGGTCACCATGAAATCACATCCCCAAAACTTTTCAATCCCTCCAGGGATGGTGACATCACCATTGCCCTGAGTAACTCATATCAGTGTTTGACAACACAATCAATTAAGAACCTCTGCAAGGCCAAACTGCTACCGAGAGCTGCTCCCTGGACTTTTGGAAATGATTCTGTGGCTCAGCTCCAAGTCTTGCTGGAAGTGGCACAGTGAACATCTTTTCTTGCAGTGTCACCTGAGGGGAACACTGGCTAAAAACAGTTCCATGCCCAGATGGGGTAGAACATCACTACAAATAACAATTGTATATAATAGTAGTTATAAAATGTATATATAGCAGGTAGACAAATGTATAACAGATTGACAAGCTGACACAGAAATCAGGAAATGAAAACCACAGCCAAAATTTCCAGAATCAGAGGCCTGTAGCAGTTTAACATAAAGGACATTTAGAAGCACCAGAGGTCTAATTCCTTGCATGAAATGGACAATAATGTGTTTTGACAAATGTTCATTTGTGCCTTACCCAGATTCTGCCCTCCCACACGCATTACCAACTTCGCAGCAAGAGCTGGATTTCAGGATTGTGGAATCAGCAGTTGGCTTGTGACACCACATTTATATAAAATTAGGAGATAACTGTAGGCCCAAGTGAAACAGAGAATGATAAAGACCAGCACCAAGCCAGCCCTGCTGCTGCAAACCTCTCGTACCTTCAACGCTGAGCGTGGCTTCGGTCTCAGCGATCCCAGCCCTGCACTTGTACACTCCAGCATCCTCGGGCTTCACCTTCATGATCTTGAGCTCTGCTGAGTACTGATCCCTCTTGATTCTGTACTTCTCCGAGGGCTCAAGGAGCACTTGGTCCTTGAACCACTTGACGTGCTTTGGGGAAGGCCTGAAGTCACAGGACAGGATGACCGAGTGTCGCTCCAGGACCGTCTTGTCCTCCAGCTTCCTGGTGATCTGGATGTGGTAATCTGCAAAGCAGGGGTGGGGAAGAGAAATGGATCAATCTAAAGAAGAGGAAGGTTTTAATCTGTATTTCATGCCCATTAATTTCATATATGACTTTCACAACTGTTTTGTGAACTGCTCCGATCCTGCTACAAGTGTCAGTAACAGAGCCCATGTGCTTTGAAGCTACAACAGCACGATGATCTGTAAGGAAAGCTGATTTCTGTAAGACCAGACTGCATATTAACCACCAAATTCATGGTCCACTTCTGCCTCAGTGCTTGCTGAATTGCTCTCTAATTGAGATTTTCATTCAAGTAAAAGTAAATGAAAGACAGAACAAGGACTTCAGGACGCTATTGGAGAGATTTACCATGGTGACAGCAGAAGACAAAAAACCTTGAGGCTTTGTCCTAGATCAAGTCAACGACAAAATGAATTAAGTAAATGAGCTATCAAACTTGTCTAGTTCAGAAATGGGACAAAATTAACTCTCCTGGCAAATTTCATCTGTTTTGTCCTCCTTGGTAAAGTCAAGAGAACAAAAATAAAGCAGAAACCAGTTTTAGCTTGATAGATTTGAATACCAGAGATACCAAAGTCATTTAATCTGATCCCTTCCTAAGACATTTCAGGCTCAGTTGGTGCATCCAGCATTGCTCCCAACAACTTGCAGTTGGTAACTAAACAGATCATCCAGGTACACACACATTTCCAAGAACACAGCCCAGAATGGAGTATATTTATGACAAATTACTTTCCAGGTACTGAGAGGGAGAAGATCTTTGTTCTGATTCACATGATATGCATTAAAAATCACATTACCTCTGACAAGCAGGTTGGCTGTGGATTTGGATTTGCCAATGGAGAACTGGATGGTGCCTGTCATATCAACACTTGTTTTTACTATTGTCAGCCTATGGATGGTGCCTTCCTGGTGCATGATGATGTTTCTGCCAGCCTGCAAGGCTGCTCCCTTCAGGAACCACTTGGCAGGTTTCACAGATGGAATGGATGTCTCACATTCAAAATTGGCTTCTTCAGGCTCAGTCACGTCCTCATCACACAACTCTTTTACAATATTAATGGCTTGCTCTGGATGGAACAAGAGAGCAGGGATTTAGGGGTCATGAAAGCTTTTCCATTATCAGCCTGAATGCTCATGACATCTTTTCTGTACTTGTGAACTCAAAAGGGCTTAAAACACTTTTTTTTTTTTTCTGTATAAAAGCAAAGAGATATTGCTGGTTACAGGCCAGGAAGTGAATCTGTATCTCTTGATTCTTAGTCCTAATTTTAAAGTCACCTTCCTTCCCTGATATCAAACATGTAGTGCTATAAAACAGAAAAGAAGGTTCATTGGAATGCAAATGCTGATAAAAGGAGCTGCAATATTTATGAGAAAAATAGACTTTTCCCAATACATTTGATAAACATCTCTGGAATGGGAACTTCCTCATTTTCCTTAGGAGAATATACCATATATTCATTTTTCAGGATCTTCCTGTGTGTAAAAGGATTCAATACCAATGGACTTCAGAATAAATAACATGAAATAAAAATCCTCTTTAAGCAGCATTGTGTTTCCAAAGTAAACAACAAGTGAGTCAGCCCATCCTCCTCTCAGTGTATTCTAGAGATGATAAAAATATTTTTTATGATGACTTGAGAGGTTACCTGGAACAGAGGCTGGACAGTATTAAAGGAATAAATAAGTATTCATTAAAAAGGCCTTCACAGGATTCACCTTGGGCAGTACAAGAGCCCAGCCGTGGCTCCACCCAAGATGGACCCTGAGTCACAGATTTTCACATTTTTATAAGTTTTGGTCCATTTACATATTGGGGTTAATTGTCCAATTACAGCTTCAGGTTATGAAATCCCATCCTCCCAGATTGTCTCCTCAATTCGCTGCTGTTTGCACTTTTTGGGGCTGGAGCTGCAGCTTGTCCTTGGTTGTGGGGCTGGAAAAGGATTGTTCTGTGTGCCTGAGCTGGGAGGAGAACTTGCTGACACTTTATATGAAATTCCGAGTCACACACTGAGGCAGTGCAGAATCTGGAAGGCACGAAAGCTAAAACTTCACCACCTACCTTCAACGAAGAAATTAGCACTGGTTTTGTCATCCAGGGCATCACACGTGTAGGTGTCCTCATCCTCGTAGTCGGCGTCGTTGATGACGAGTTTCCGATAGACGCCCTCGCTCACGATTTCGTATTTCCCACCGGGGTGAATCTCCACGTCCTTTTTGAACCACCTGACCTTGGCGTTGGCCCGGGACACCTGGCACTCCAGGACACCCCGGTGCTTCCACAGGGCGATCTTGTCCCGCAAAGGCTTCACGATTTTCACAGGCAGCTCTGCAAGAGTAAAGACAGTGGAGGAATCGCTACGGTCTCCATAAAAACTCATCAGCAATATTTCTTTTGTGTTCTGTAATTTGGATGATGACAGGAGTCCCTGCTGTGCTGAGCACTCAGTTAACAAGTTTAATTAGTAAGAGCTAATTAAAGGGAAACTTTTCCTCCATATTTTACCACTGGAGTGGCAGAACTGCAGAGGTAACAGGTGGTTTCCTCAACACCTCAGAGCAGTGCTACAACAAAACCAGGAACTGATCTCCAGTTTCCTGAGCTCCTCAGCAGTGCATTAATTCAAATATCTTCATTTTCTCTCCTTCTATCACATTGTTTTAGTTAACACACCCAAAAATGCTGGTTTTTGTTATAACACACACCAGAAAGTGAAAATTAAAAAGAAAAAGTGAAAGTGAAAAAGTCAACTATGGCTTTTTGTCCCTCAAATTTCACACACAACTTTAAATGTCTAAAGATGCAAAACCAACCTCCTGAGAAAATTAACTGGAATTTAGCCAAAATAAACTCCCAGCTGATATTTACCAGGCAGTAAATAGGCGAGTTTTCTTTCCCTGAACACTGTAGGACTTTTTTAACTTTCACATCCAAAGTGAGGGAAATGAATTGGTTTGTAAGATGAGACAGCAGAAGCAGTGCTGGCACGAAGAGCAGAATTTACCTTTTACAGTCAGCTGAGCACGAGATTCTGCCTTTTCTGCCACGAATTTGATCTCGGCCGCATCCTCGACGTGGACGCGTGCATAAGTCAGGGAATAGGTTTTTCCTGGGGACAGACACACAGACACAGCTCAGCTATCCCACAGCAAAACCCTGTTTTCTAGTCTCCCATGGCACCCACCCACCCCCATTCCAGAACAAAATCCCCTTTTTCCCTCCTACCATCCTGCCGCATTTTGATGTTGTCGGAATTTTTGTACCACTGGGTTTCCACCTCGTCGTGTGAGATCTCACAGATGAAGGATGCACTCTCGAATTCGTTCACTTCCACATCTTCCAGTGGTTTTACAATCTTGATATCTCGGGCTGTGAAATCATAAAGACAAGTATTTACATTTGGGGGTTTCTCCATAAGTGAGTACAGTGGGTTTACTTTCTGCATAATCACATGGAAAAAAATGGGATTATGTTTTATTCTAGACCAGCCTTTCTTCCTGGGTAGCTTCTCTCTTCAACACAGTGAATATTTTTTATGGCTGAAGCTTATTGCAAGAGGATGTTATGGCTGCTGGAACTTCATACAGGTATTAATGAAAGAAATACACATATTATTGAAAGTAAGTTCAAGAAAAACTAAGCATTAGACTTAGGTCATTATAAACCTGCCTCATTCATGCTTCTCTGCACACTCTCCTCTGTTTTACACAGGAAAAATATTTTTTCAGAGTCTCCTGAACTGACTATATAACCCTCTTTAACTCTGCACCTTGGCATTCCTCTTGTCAGAACTGATCTATTCATCTGTGCTACTGCAGCTCTTTTGTTCTGAAAGAGAAGGCCTTGATACACCTTAGATCAGCCCCAGGAGCAGAGCTGAAATGCAAACAACAACCCATCCCAATCCCAAAACCAGGGAGAAAAGGGGGAGCTCAACAGATTCATGAAGACACTGCTGAACCCAAGCAGCCACAGGAGGACAGCATCTAGTAAGCAATGGGAAAGATGTTCTGTCTTCCTCTAGGAAAGAGCTGATCTGTTTTTCAGATGCCCCTTTAGAAAATAACATCTGCCAGGGCAGAGCTGTCTGCTGAGAAACTTGCCTTTATCTCAGAGCTTATCTCAGGTGCTTCAGAGCCTGGTGACAAAACACACTTGGTGCTTCATCAGTTGCTCAGCACAACCCTCAGATGGAAAAACTGCCTTGAGCATAAAGGAGAGGTGCAGGCAGAAATAATGACCCTTTCCTTAGCATTAACAACCTAAAAATAAGGGCACTTTTTGAGCTCACACCCAAGGTTTGTCCCAGCCCCTATTCAGGCAAAGTCCCCCTGTGACAATGGTGCCACCAAACCATATCAGCATCAGCCACTGGATCTCTGCTTTGGGCCAGGCTGTCCTGTAGTTCCTGATTGCCAACCCAGAAACATCATTGATACTCCAGAGAATAGAAATCACTTATGATAAATGGAAAACTGAGTTAGGACCACTGCCAAAAATACTGCAAGGATAGAGCAAGCACAGGACAGCTTTGCCAGCATTTTCTCACCAGGAAGAGAAATGTAACCAAAATGAGCAACTGTGAAAAGAAACACTCCACAAAGAATTTGTTGCTGTGTAACAAAAAACACTGCAGTAAATGTATTTTCTTACTTCAGCCAAACTTACCATGAACTTTTAGAGTAGCTGATGTCTTGTCTTCATCTGCTTGACATGTATAGGTTCCCTGGTCTTCATATTCACACTTGTGAATAATGAGGCTTCTCTTATTTCCTTGGGAGATAATCCCAATGTTTTTACTTTGCCGAATCTCCTTCCCATCCTAGAAGGGGAAAAGGTCAAAGCAGATCACCCTCAACTCCTGTACATCTGCAGTGAGCAAAACACATTCAGATCTGGGCTTATTTCAGCCTTCTCCTTGGATTTAATGGAAAACAGTGCTTAAAGGAACATGTGTTGAATATTCATCACGGGGCAAAGATTTCAGGAAGTTGGAAAGGCTGAAGAGCACACACAAATTTTGGATGATCTCAGGCACCTTTTTCAAGGCTTAAAACACCATGCAGGGTTGGCAGTGAGTCCCTTCAGACACAAATGGTTTTAAACTAAAAGAGGGTCAGATTTAGACAGGAAACAGGAAGAAGTTTTTTCACAATGAAGGTGACAAAACACTGGCACAGGAAGCCTAGAGAGGTGGTGAATGCTCCAGCCCTAAAAACATTCAAGAGCAGGTTGGACAGAGCTCTAAGCAACCTGATCTGGGTGAAGATGTCCTTGCTCATGGCAGGAGGTTTGAAATGAGATGACCCTTCCAGCCCAAATTCTACCTTGAAGAATTTCTGCTACCCCAAATTAAGGAAGGTATCAGCTCGGTCCCAAGGGAAGTACATGCAATGCCAGAGCTGATCCCCAAAATGACTGTTATGGGAAAGGCAACTGGATTGTCACTGACAAAGGAAATGGAGGCTTCCCTTTATATCACATTTCCCCAAAAGGTGCAAATCCTGGGTGATTAGTGCTTGGTATGGAGTGAAACACAGGACTACAAATCTGTAACAACAGTGCTCACATTCTGTGCAAGAATAGAAAAGTTTTACTTTCAATCCAATATATAAATACAGTAAATAAAAACCTGAGAGTGATAAATTGGGAGAGTAAGTGAACAGAAGGACAAGAGAGCAATGCTAAGAGCTTTACTGCAAAGGCTCAGGCTCATATTCCCTGGGAGTAGAATTAAAGGCTCCCATTCCCTTCCAGAGAGGTCAGAAATGAAAATATCACAATCCATTAAGTGCTGTACCTTGAACCACTTCACATTGGCATTGGGTTTGGACAGCTCACACTCGAACGTGGCCTTGAGCTTCTGAGTTACACTGACATCTGCCAAAGGTTTGCTGATCCTCACAGGCAGTTCTGGGAAGGAAAGAGAAATTCCAGTGAATGGGACATGGGGTCACACAAGCACTGATGGGTAAGTAGAGCCTGGCTGTCATAATAAATAAAATTTCTATTGTTTTGGGCATTTTTTCTGTGGACGGTGATGCCACAATGATCCTGCTGGCATTAGAAAGGAACATCACTGTGCTTTACATCCCTTGCAGTTACAAGGAAAAACGTGTTGCCCTCTTAAGTTTGCTCTCCAGGTCAGGAAAAGACAATTACATCCACTCCAAGCAGGGTTGGAGCTTTGTGTGCCTGTGTACCTGTCACAGTGAGCCTCCCTGATGAATTAATGCCTTCTGCTTTGAAGGAGATGAGTCCTGCATCTTCCAGAGCCACCGAGGACAGAGTCAGGGAGTGTTTCTTGCCCAGGACAGCGAAGCTGATGTTGGGTGCAGGTTTCAGACGAACACCATCCTTCTGCCAGGTGCCCTCCACGTCCTCGTGTGACACCTCCACCTCGAAGGTGACAGTCCCTTTCTCAGTCACCTGCAGGGGCTGCAGGCCTTTCACCAACTTGATCTGCCTCACTGGAAAACAACATGGAAAAGTTGGAGATCTCACACCAGGAAATAGTCTGAGGACTCCCTAAATTGATTATTTCCTTATTGCTCATGTACCCGCCAATTAGTTGGTCTTTGCCAATTAAACAACCACCTTGACAGGAAATAAAATCTGTCCATGACCACACCACTAACATAGCTGCTATTTCTTAAATGGATGCTTTCATGAGACAAACAGGTCAACCAAATATCACAGAAAACACCACTGGCCCCACTTTCTACCAAGATCTATCAGCTTTTAGTAAAAGAAAGACAAATCCATGGCAATCCTGTGCAGTTTTCCAATTAGGACAAAACAAGGATGGGAGGAAAAAGTTACAGTAAAAGGAAAAAAAAATACATGACATGGGGCAAAAAGTGTTGACCCCTCACAGATTGGTGGCCAAAGCATCCATGGTTTGGGTGGATATTACCTGTTCCTGTGACAAGACATCCATGTCCTATCATCCAGTAAAATGGATTTAGTGTTTAAACTTGTATCAGCACTAATTAAAAAAAAAAATTTAAAAAACCCAAAAGCACAGTGAAGGCTCCAAGACCTCTCCAGACAGCCTATTCAGTCATCTGACCATTAAAAACCTTTTTTAGACTATAACCTGGATCTTTCTCACTGCACCCGAAGTCCATTATTTCCTGGCATCATGGAAATTGTTTCCTTCTACTTTGTAAGACATCAAGTACCCAAAAAACTGTTTTCAAGTCCTTTCTCACCTATTATTTAGGACCTGCCCAGCACCAGTTGGTGGCAAGGACTTTATGGACAAAATTAGACAGCCCTTGAGTGATTAAATCCTATCTTCACCTATCCTGTGACAATTATGACAAAAAGATGTAGGAAAGAGACAAAAGTACAGGGCTATGGATGAGGCATCATTAGTTTACCCAAGAGGGAAAAACCTTCAGGGAGAAGATTTGCTTTTGTAGTTTTTTAGATCCTGACTGAATATGAAGAGACATTCTGAATGAGGTGGTTTGCAGAGAAAGATCAGGGCAGCAGATGGCTGAAGGAGGATTTTTTTTTTTTTTTTTGCTAAAAAATCATACCAAGGAAAAGCACAGAGCAATCAGGGAGTGAGAGAGCAAAGAGAACAATCTTTTAAGAAGCTCAGTGGTCAAAGCTGGGGGGATGAGATGGAGGAATAGGAACCAGTCAGACATTCTCTGTTTACTGCTTAGCTGTCAATGGACTGGGGGCCAAGCCCATGGTTTTGTGTCCCCATGATAATGCAGAGACCAGAATCCACCTCCAAACCCTTCCTGGGCTATTTATAGAACCGAGGCTCACTGAACTCACTTTCCACATTGATCTTGGCTTGGGTTTTGTCATCAGGGCTCTCACAGCAGTAGAAGCCCCTGTCTGCAAAGGAGATGTCCTTGACCACCAAGGTGTGCTTTGTTCCCTCAGCTTTGATCTCTATTTTGTCACTGGGCTTCAGCACGATGCTGTTCCTCATCCATTTCACCTCTGCAGGCTTGGTCAGCTCTACCTCCAGGGTCACTGTCTCCCTCTCTTCAACTGTTTTGGGCTCCAGCTTCTTCTTGAAGGAGATTGAGGCCTCTGTAAGAGAGGAAATATCAGTAGGAATGTAGGAGATCTCCAGGAAACAGGCTTGGAAAGAAAATTAACCCAATGGCTCATGTATCTCCAAACCCAAAGCATTCTGGGCACCCCTGTTTAATGACACAAAAGCAGAAATTCCCTGCTGCTAACATAAATAATTAGAGGTAAAGCCACACAAAACAACATCATAGAATCATCATCTTAGAATGGTTTGGGCTAGAAAGGACCTTAAAGACCACCTAATTCCAAGCAGGGTGCCATTTCCAGCCTGTCAGAGGGGCACTGTCAGCTCTTACCTCGGACTCTGAGGTTGGCTGAGCTTTCCACACCCTCAGCACTGGCTGTGATTTCAGCTGCATCTTCCAGTGCCAGGTCAGTGATGGTGAGGCTGTGGTTGGTGTCCTTCTGAGAGATCACGTATTTCTTGCTGGCTTCAATCTTGGCACCATTCCTGAGCCAGGTGACCACAGCATCACTGGGGGAGACGGTGCACTTGAACACAGCCTCTTTACCCTCCTCAGACACCACGCTGTTGAGACTTGTGACGAATTTCACCACTCTGGGAGCTGATGGATAGGAGAAAAACATTCAGGAGCATGTTCTTGAGGCATGGCATGAGTACCTTCAAACAGCCAAAAGCTTCCATGACTTTTTTGGAAGCAGCAACTTGATTACTTACAGTAAGTGATCACAATACTGGGTCATCACATATCCCATGTCTGGGTAAAATATGTGCATAAAGAGAGGCAAAAAAAGATGGGGGAAACCCCATCCTACATTTTAGAAACTGAATTTCAGCTTCAAATGCAATATGAAGGTCAATATTAAGAGACCTGAGCCCAACAGGTCTCACAACTATTATGTCTTTCATAAATAGAGGTTCCATTGACATTGAGAGGGGAGTTCTGTATTTTGTTATTTTGTTCTCAACACAGGAGTCAGCCCAGACACATGAACAAATCCAGCTGTGCAGGGTTGTAACAGCTGAGGACAAAACCCAGGGATCCCCCCACCCTGTCACCATTAGAGACGCACGTTTGGGGACGATGGTGACGCTGCTCTTGTCATCCCTGGACTCGCAGGAATATTCTCCCTCATCCTCAGCCCGGATCCCCGTTATCGTCAGGGTCCTCTTGGTTCCCTCCTCACGGATCTGGAAACGCTTGCTGGGCTTGATCTCCACACCATTCCTGCTCCATGTCACCTTCCCCTTGGCGTGGCTCAGCTCACAGCTCAGGGACACGCTGCCACCGATCTCGGCTTTCACGGCCTCCAGCTTCTTGGCAAACTTCACCGGGATTTCTGAGATCCAGGAGAGGGGGGAATTGTGAGGGAGGAAAAGAGGAAAAAACCCGTTCTAAGAAACTGGTTCTGCCCGACACTGGAAATAAATTAATTAATTAAATGGCCTTAAATATTTGGTGAGACAAAACCGAACCAAAAATGTGGAAATTCAGGCAGATTCCTTTGATGGGATATTTTCAGATCCCCATCATTCTATAGGAGGATACAGAAACAGGAGGGGAGCAAACACCACAAGTACTCATCATAGGTTTCCACATTCCAAACCGGCCAGCAAAAGACAAAACCTGGAAATCTGGAAGCTGGAGAACTTTTCTGGCCCACGGTGGGGCATCCAGAGAAGGTGCAACAAGCCCTGAGGTTGGAACAGCTTTCAGAAGAGTTTGGGTTTCACCTCCATCCCACCATGAGGGAAGTTCATCTGTTGGGTTGGGCCATGCCCTGGGCACTGCTCACCTTTCACCTGGACCCTGAATTCCTGCTTGTCATGCTTTGTCTGGCAGGTGTAGAGGGCAGAGTCTGTGCTCTCAGCTGCAGTCACTGTCAGTGTCCTGGATGCCCCCTCGCTCTTGATCACACATTTCTTGCTCGCCTTGATTTCTGTGCCATCCTTGAACCACCTCACTGCAGCGGTTTCAGGAGTGACTGAGGTTGTCAGTGTGATGCTTTCGTGTTCTTGGACAATGAGAGGCTCCTTCTGGACAACTTTCTTTTCAAATTTAGCCTCTGGTTCTAGAAAAGACAATAAACCAGGAAAATTAAGAACTTTTTGCTCAAATCCTTGACACAGCAGTTTTACATTGCTCTCTCTTCAGGACTCACACCACCAACTCATCCATAGCCTGTAATAATCCAATATAGCTGAATATGAATGAATGAATATGAATATGGGTAATATAATCTTTTCCTGAGAGGGAAGACATAAAATGATTTCTCAGGCAACCCAGAACTTCTGCTTAGAAGAGAGGAAAGGAAATGCAAATATTTATATTTATCTGCAGCCCATAAAAAGCTTGTTTCTTAGAAGTAAAATTACCTATATAATTCTTTCCCTTCCCTTTCTTAGGATTTTGGATAAAATTTAAGAAGAGACATCAATAGGCTGAATTTATAGCCTGTTATCTATTTGCTTCACTGGCTGGAGGGCTGGAACTTGATCTTTAAGGCTCCTTCAAGCCCAAACCATTCTGAGATTCCAGTCCCTTTTTCATGGCCTCCATTATATCTTGTACAACTGTTTACCACAAAATCAGACATTTGTGGGACACAATCAAGCAGCAGACCAGGTTTTCTGAGTCACTTTTCTTCACAGCTCCACTGCTGCTCTTCAAAACTTCCCACTTCTATTTCCAGCTCCCTCTACCACTGAAGGAGGTTGGGTGACATGGTGTGTGAAAGGGAGAAGCAAAAAGCTATGTAGCATTTCCAGACCCCCAAAAAAGTCCAAATTTCCCACCTCCACACTGCTAGATTAAGAATTAATGTGTCATGTGGCTCACTGGTGCTGCTCCAGGGGAGACAGTGGCTGGACCAACCCTGCTGCATCAGGAATATCCAGTTTTCCTCTAAGCCACAGGGACTGGTTCTTCACACCACAAAGTGAGCACTCACCAGTTGGTTCCAGTTTGAAGGTCAGCCTCTGGCCAGCAGCCTCACAAATGTATTCCCCAGCATCCTTTTTCTCCAGCTGCTCCACCACCAGGCGCCGGGATTTGCCCACGGTCTCTATTTTGAATTTCCGAGAGGAAACGAGCAGTTTGCCATCCTTGTACCACTTCACTTCGGTGGCATCCTGTGCCACCTCACACATGAGAGTGGCACTTTCTGTCAAGACAGCCTTCACCTCCTTCTGGACCTTTTCCTGGTTTATAAATGCAGGTTTGGGCTCTGAGAAGAGAAAAAGAAGAGTTGAGGGGTTCAGATAAGATTAATCTTCCAGATTTCTGTGGAGAGGTTTGGAAAATATTTAGGTTGTCACTTGTCAAAACCAATTACCCTCACTGAGTAGTGTCTACCCTTCTGTGGGATGGAGTTACTACTTGGAAAATTGGGAACTAAGAGTCTAGAAATGGAAATGACCAAGAGGAGCCTTGACATCAATCCTATGGTTGCAAGTAACCAGGTGAAAATATATTTATTTCAAACTCTCCCAAAGAACATCTGTCCTGCATATCACTATAAGCTCCCAAATTCCTTTTACTGAAGATCTCAGACAAAATAAAGCAATTTATTGGAATATTTCACAGTAAACTTCAGCACCTGGCAGGAATAGTAAGACATCTCAAAACACTGAGATCTCAATGATACAGCAGTACAAATTCAGAAAAAATGCTGTTTATAACCTATCTTGAGATCTGCTGCTGATACCATAAGTGACAAAACATATTCCAGCCTCTAAGTCTTCCAAAATGGACTTGGAATTCAAACAAGGAAATGATTATTTAATGGTTCTTTCTTTTCAAGAGGCTCAATGCAAAAGAATCACTCATTGGGATCCCAGGAACAGGAGGGACCTGAATAAAATTAATTATTTCTATTATATTTATAGCTGCAACTATAAAACCTACTAAGAATGAGACAGAACTCGTGACATGGGTATTTGGCTAAAGCCAAATATTCCCATTTCTTTCATGCCCCAAATCAAGGCAACCAAGTACTGAAAATCAGGTGAACCCTGCAGGCTTCAACAAATCCCAGACTATTGCAACTGAGTCATGGTGGAATAGATATTGCAATTATTGCTTTA